GATTTATTTTATGTTACTATCTTACGTTATCATAGGTCGCGTCGTTAAGCCACACAAGCAATAAAAATCAATTTTATAGAGCTGAAGGTCACGCATTTGACGAATATATCGAGAAACATTTTGTATTCAGAGAAATGATTCATGAAATTCTCTTGTTTTTAGTTAATTATAAACCAAATTATTAACCGAAATACAAATTTTACATTTAAAATAGTATCTTGTTTTGCATTTTCATCAATTGAAAACACTGATGAAAGATATTATATTTATTTACTACTGATAATTCAATATCCAAAACCGTTTACAATGACCTATTCAACTAACAAAATTACTAATATGATTGAAGTTCATTTTTTATTAGGTCCTTGAAATTATACGAATAGCATGTAGCCTAGAGCGTGTTCGACAGAACGACTAAAGCAGACCGGTAGTAAATGAAATTATGCCATTATTATTATTTACGCTATTATTATTGCAATGTTAAATAGACGATGTTATTAACCGGTAAACCTATTTACTATATAATATAATAGACATTTGAATGCAGCAAGAAAAGACTTGGTAATTAAGTAATGAGTGCAATTGACGTGACCCAGTAAGTGTTTTGATTATTCAGGTATGAAATTTTATATTATAGAATTTTTGTTATGGTCTTTTTATGTACCTCTGTTAAGTTCGGGCAATATCATCCGTACCCTGGGTGGTTTTTCAGACGAAAAATGTCGAGGATCTACAGGCATTTTCGCCGGTACGCTGGGGGACATCAAGTGATAAAAACATTTTGGCGATTCGCCTTCTGTTTCCAGCGAACTCGTATTGACCACCAAAGGATTGACGAGACCGGAACTGTTTGTCCGATCACGTGTTTCTTTACTTCCCATATGGTGGTCTTCATAATTCGTCTTGTTATTCGTTAGCTGCTGTTGTTGATAGTTGTCGACACCCTCACGGTCATCGCGGTTATTCATCTCATTATAGTCACGAACGTATCTCGTATCATTTTGTCATTATTTGGTCAGTCCTAAGTGTAGTGTAATTTTATACATTTTTATGATATAATAATTGGCTGAAGAGTTGAGAAACGTAGACGTATTTATTTGCAAAGGACGAGTAGTCACGAATTATGATCGTTATAAGTAAATTAAGCAATTCCTTTTTTTTAATACCCCCACTTCTATTTAATAATAATAAAAAAAAATTTTTATCGTAGTTTGGCTCACGTGTTCAGAATTCATTATACACAACGACAAACGAACACCGGTGTATACAGAAATGCCCATTATAATTTATGACGAATTCATTTCATTCAAAATTATACTGGTACAGAATAAACTATAGCCTATTTAGTCCCTCCCAATCTCGGACTTATCTCATTAAACGTATGACTAATATTTATTATCTCATGAGGCTGGCTGTAGTACAAACTGGTTTCATTAGAACGCTTGTGTTCAACTAACGGAGGATATCAACATATTAGCCAGAAAATTAAATTTTAATAATCATCAACTGAATGAAAATGAATCGATTAGTAAATATCAGTAGGTTTGATCGAAAATAAATTCAAGATTATTACTCATTAAATTTTACGTTTATTTAAAAACGACTTTTTGTGCGACTTATTACAATATCTTTAAAAAAAAGGCCTATGGTAAATGTCAAAAACCTACAGGACTCAGTGCAGTACACTCGAAACACATAAATATGGATAAAAGAACATTACGAAATGTATTTAATGGTTACGACATAAAATTAAAGTATAGTACTTTGTTCTTATTACAAAATTTCTGAAGTTGTCCAAATCAACACGTACGTTTCTCAACTGTAAGGTTAGTTTTATTTAATGAATGACTTGTTAAAAAATGCATTATTATGCAAAAATAATTTCTAGTTTTAAATATTAACAATAAATGAAGTACTTTTTATGTGTGCATAAGCACAACCAATCTTTGTAAATTCCTATGAATGAATCACAGCTCTACATGTGAAAAATCAAAAGTTAAATTTATTGTTTGTAAACAAAACTTTAAAAGTTTAAAAGAGCGGAAAAAAACGCACACGGGCGTACCAATACATCGACTTACGGTATAACGCATTCAACTAAAGACTCACAGATAAAAAATTTGCAGTAGAATATGTCGGTGAGTTAAGTCCAGCCCATTGCGCGCAGAGCAGTGTTGTTAACGTACGATATTATTGTATACATGTTGGTCAATGAATGTAAAAATATTTAACTATTTACAAATAGCCCATTGACATACGTAAATATCACATTTTTTATGGTTATTCAGTAAAAACTCGCACTGCATGTGATTAAGCACGTTGCACAGCTAAGAATTAATTGTTAAAAAAATAGTCGTATGTTTTTGAAACGAATTTTATACACAAGTAAATGTCAGACACATACCATTTGAACATTCTTGGTAACATATGACTTTTAAGTTGGCTATAACATTTTAGCGAGAGTAATTTTATACTTAACTTTAACATTGAAAAAAAGGCGTTGTTATACTTAGCGTTTGGAAATTAACATAATAATTATAGAAATACAATTTCACTATTGTTTATAGAATATTATTTCTCTAAATTGTAAAACAGATAAAATTATTTAAAATATGGACCATATTAATGATTCAATAACGTTGATATACACAAATAAATTATCCGAAAATAAAAGTAAAATTTCGTTCTTATATTAAAACACGAGAATAAATACGTATACAGTAATAAATAATTGAGAAAAAGGCTTTTCATTATTTCTAGTGTTCCTAACATTTGATATATTTCCTTGCTTTTGATCACTGTATACAGAGTGTTCAGTAAGTAAGGAAACAGGCTATTTGTTACAAAAAATGAGATACCCGTTTCTTTACTTAATGAACACTATATATTAATAGAAATAATGTAATTGTTTTAAATCAACTTTGAAAACTAATAAAATGTAAATATAAAATAAAAATCTAGTACATTAAAAATTGCATGAGTATTGGATAGTATAGGATTTCGTATACAAGCAAGCGGACGTTACTGTTTAGGAACTAGTAATAGTTATTAATTATTTAGCACATGACAACCCACTAATATTTAAGAAACAAAGCAAAAACTTCAAAAATCGACAACTAAAAGTAACTTAATACTATATAATCTATAGTAATAATATAAAATATGTACAACACTGTAATTGTATATTATACAATTACAGTGTTGCATATACCAATATGTGATAGCCTGTTCTATAAAAGACGGAAAGAGGTAATCAACCCTACGTGGTTGGGATGACTCACCACCAAAAAAGCGAGGGTGAAACAATCCCAACGTTGCACCATAACGCGTAAAACAATTTCAAGTACCAATATCGAAAAACTGAAAAATTATTTGTATGTTTTACAAACAGTTTTAAATAATTTGATAGAATTAGAAAAAAATCTACGTTTTAAAATAATATTAAGGACAATTAAATAAACCTTTTTAGAAATAAAAACGAAATAAGGGTGGATTTTAATTATATTAAGATGATACATTTTGTACTTAGGATTTTATTGTTTAATTATTCATCGATACATCACTTACTAAATACATAATATTTTATAAAAGGAAATAAAATTTCAACAGTAATATATTTGATAAAGTTTTCGGTATATTTATCATCAATCCATGTACATAAGTTCAAACTGCAGAAATACAACATTGGTCTATAAATTTTTCAAATTGTTTTTCTATATTTTGGAAAGATCGTGGAGATGGAAGAGTTTTGAAAAATAAGTCAACAATGCATACTTTTTGAAATCATAATATAGTATATAATATATCACAGTTCCAACAGGCAGATGTAAATTTAAGAATTTACTGCCCGCGTGGAATATAATTTTTATGGCATTACATTTTTCAATAAATCCAATTTTATATAAATAATAAAATAATGCTAATTAGAAGTTTTTCAAAGTATAATATAAATGCTAATTTATATTATAAATAATATATACTTGCATTATTATAAATAATAATGCATGTATAAAATATTTTCATGATTAATTATAACAAGAGTGAACATACTAAAAAAGTATATATACAATTAAATTATTGTAACACCACAATGCAAGATAAAATATAAGCCTAAGAGAATAAAAATAATAATAATAAGTTATTAAACTAGTATAAAACTTAAAAATATTATTATAAAAAATATGTTTAGAAAATAAAATATTAGAATATACTTTTTTTTTACTATTTATTACCTTTTCAAGTCTAAAATAGAGATTTAATATTCATATCCAAATAATTTTAATGTAAAAAAATGTTATCAAATGTATTCCATTTTAAAAATTATCAAACCAAGTTTATATCATTTATTTATAAATATTATAAATAACATTATATAGTTACTTGTATATTATTAGATAGAAAAAAACTATAAATAAGGAAAGAAAGATTTTATTGTATGATTGAAAATCTGAAATTTATTTTAAGTCTTATTTAAAAATTATACATCTATTAGTGTAGCCCTTATTTTAAATCACTGTATGTATATATATAGCGTGTTCAGTAAGTAAGGAAAACGAGTTTCTATTGTTTTCATTGTTTATAACAATTGACCTGTTTCCTTACTCATTGAATAACTTGTATATGTATACTTAAATATTCATACAGCTTAGATATTAAGACAATAAAATTAAATGTTCTGGAAATTAAATTTTTTTAACATGTTCATTGAAATCCATGTAAATGAACATATCACTGTGCCCAATGCTATGATAGTCAATAAAAATTTTGATTATGAGCTATTAGAATTTAGGATTGACTTGTCTTATAATTATCATCTTTAAAATTGGTTTGATTGGAATAAATTTGGAATTGTGCATAGTGATATATATAATATTGTATCATTTTAAAATTAGAAGAAAATGAATTATATTGGATAACACAATTCACTTATTCATAAAAATATAGCTTTTAGTATAAAAATTCAGTTTCAAACCTATTAATTAAAATAAATTTATACTTACGAAAATAGTTTAATGTTTCACGAATATATTCTTTAGAAAGACTTGAAGTATCAACTTCGTCTTCATTTAAAGCTGGACTTGGTATGAACCAGTCTTTATTTTCGTAACCTAATAAAATAAAAAATTATAGTCATATTAAAATTTAAGCTTTTGTTAAATATTTTACCAGTAAACTGTGTTAGAGTGTCAGCTCTAAGTTTATACTGAGGAATAGTTTCTTCCAATAAACTTATTAGTTCTACTTCTGGTAAATCATCACTATTGCATATTTCTAAAAGAGAAAACAATTTTTTTAAGTTTTTAATAGTTGAATCTTTTACATTATGAGATTATCAACTATAGGTATTTTAGTGGCTTTTATTATTGTTAGAAATTTTAATTATCAACGTTACATTCTTCAACAAATTACACTTTTATTTCAAATTCAAAAATATAATCACAACAATTTATCAGTCATAAAATGAGTGTGGTTGACATAATTTTGGATAAACACCAAAAAGTATGACGTTTTTAGTCAAAACAAGTGACATTACCAATGCACTGTATAAATTCATAATTAGACTAATAGTATTTAGTAAGACTTTGTTACTGTTAAATATATTACATAAATCTGGTTTCATTTCTTATCACTCATTTATTTTACAATACAAACCTACCTTTTTGCCATGAATTTAAAATTTCACATTTGTTATGTTCTAGTTGATTCTCTTTCTTTTTAAATCGTGGTCTACGTATTTGATGATCAGGCCACGGAAACATGGCTCTAATTATTTAACAATTGTCACCTACCAAATTCTTTTTATAATTTTATTTATCAGAATTAAACTTAAAATAATCCACAGCCATAAAAATTAGTTATAAAAAACTGCATTTTATTTTTAGTATTTCATTTGTCATAATTTTAAATTTACAATAAGGTAAAGTAAATTACAATGAGGATAATTTTTTAAGCAAATTTATCATGTGCAAAACTTGAATACAAATATACAAAATTTTTGTGAAACACAAAGGAAACATTTGGGATTATTAACTTTTAAGAGTTATAACTTCTCAAAAATACTGTAAAAACACAAAATAAAATACACACAGATAAAATGAAACTACCATTCCATATGGTTGTTTGAAAGGAAATACAGGTATGAAGTCAATGAAGTGGAATAAGTAGAGGAAATTAGTTCCAGTTGCAAAATATTGGCAGAGTTCTTCATTCCAATAATGTCTTGAAATTAGAATAAAAATTATGAAATTTATCTTAAATTTAAATAAATTATTTATTATTGTATTTTTTAAATTGTACTAATTTTTAATTAAAATTTGAACAAAATGAAATTATTTATTAGTCATAACATTACTATATAGTATATCTTAATAGTTTAAATAACGTCAATTTCAGATATAAAGTGACGTTGTTATTTAAAAATACCGGCAACAAATGTACTAGTTATTTGGCACCTACAAATTTTGGAAGCAATCCAATTGACAAGCTTAAAATCATTTATTTTGTGATAGGGCATGTATAAGTTAAGGATTTAACTTAGTAATTGTTTTATACTAGATAAAATAAATTATATAATAATTTACTTTTATTTTGATAAGATAATGTATTACCAGTTAACGTATATACACTAGAAGTCTTTTTAGAGGTTCCTCTACTCAAATGAGCTGACTCACGAAGCAGAGCTTTAACCCCGGACGCCTCCAGTTTGCTTATAATTTATTTCAGTTGGGTGTCAATGTTTCATATATCCTGAAAACAAATTTACAATTATAAAATAATTAATATTAAAATTATATTTTTAAAATGACTTTTAATTAGGGTCCTATTTTGTTTAATTTTTTTTTAAAACTAATTAAAATAAAATAACAAATAAGATGTGTTGAAATTTAAAAACTAATACAAAAAAAAAATTTATTTTTATGCTTTTATATATAGTATCTAAATTTCATACTATTCCTCAAAATAAATGTATAAATCTAATAAGTTAAATATGGAGTTAGCATTCAAAATAAAATGTACTTACATTTTTTAGAAATTATAATTTTATTTTTATTTCAAATCTTGAAAAATCTGTTTTATATAAATGAAAAATATATATATAATATTTCATTATCATACTTTCATATAAATGCAAACTAAACTCATGGGAAGGTCTCAATTCCCCCTCTATGAATATTTAATATTTTAATGGATAAATGACTCATATAACTATTGCTATAAACAATTAATCAACTTTAATTTTTTCATCTCATATTTTTCCTTCACTATAAAATAATTTAGACCATAAACATTTAAAATTAACTTACAATTTGCATTAATTTAGTCAATAATTTATTAATATAAATTAATGATTCTGTATAATATAATATAATATAGTGGAGAATTATTTTATAATACATAATAACAAAAATATTTTAGTAAAGCAGTTTTTCATGCATATCAAGCCTTGAAAAAATATGATATACAGAGCCAAATCTATTTAAGATCTTTATACTTTCTTATAATATACCTTTAAATTTTTTATAAAGTGAATTATCATGACATAAAGTAAAGTTAGGGGAGTATATAAGGAAGAAGGAAAGGATAGAATCCCCCTCGGAGCAATAATATTTGTATGGTGATAATTCTTGAAAAATCATACTAACAGAACTAATAAATTAATGGAAATTTTTTTATATTCTTATATACTTAAGTTTAATTTAAGTGACATAAATTTTTATTCCTTTTTATGGTCTTTAAAATGATTAAAAAATTTTAGATATATGAACAAAATTCCTATAATCTGTTTTAGCAGCAGTTATTGTTATGAGTCCAATATTGAACAAGTGTTCAAAAAGTTAACAAATAAAAGGATCCAAAAATTAAGGGTATCATTTAAAAGCAAATGATCCATTTAAATTTTTTAAAATAAAATTATGATAGACTCATAATTTTATTAGAGAAATTTATGCAAAAAAATAAATACAAATAATAAAATTTATAGCAAATATACAAAAACAATATATCTATTAAAATGGTTTAAGTGAATGAATCGAGCCAATATTACACATGGAAAACGTTTTTAAAAATAACAATTTAAGTCAAAATATGTTATAACAATTGTATTCTTTAAAGACTTTTACTAACACAAATTAACAACTGTAGTACACACCTTTATAACTAATAATTTATTCTATTTTGACTTTATGCAACAAGTAATAGGATTTACTACAGAATTATTTTATGTTTATGTACTTACTATTAGAATAAGTTGTAATAAAACAATGATGATTTAAAAACTACTAATGAACAATAACTTTGCATAATTGTTTAATAATACATAATAACACAAAATGAATACTTAAATTAATGATAATTAACTAAAAATTAATAATTCAAATTAAGATAATAATATAATATTTAATACAACAAATTAACTAAACCGTGTCAATGACTAAAGAATCATTTTTTAAATTGAATTTTTGTCGCTATTCCAACTTTGACATGACGTTGAGCAAAGCAAGAAAATAAACTGCTTAAAGATTTCTATTTATTACGGTGTGCAAAATAATAAACAGATAGATAATGTGAAATAAATTTGCAGCTGTCCTCAAGGTTGTAATATTGATATTGATAACGGTTACACGCAGTATGACCAATTTTTCAATAATGAAATTTACTACAACAATTTCGAAGATTTACAATATATTATTAATGTAACGATTATAATTCAAAGAAAAATTCAAATTGTTGCTTTCATTCTTTTTTGTTGAACAAAATCGTCATCAATTCTACGAAATATTTATAAAATATGTAAAAATATTCACTCTAAAGGTCTATAGAAGTAAATAAAGATAACTTAAGGGCTAGTTCTTTTATTGTTATAAATTTATTCGGTCATATATAAATATTAGTCTATTTGTTTCTATATTGAAATAATACCCTTTAGTATAATATATTTATTTATCTTAGATTCTTTCTGTCCAACGAATCGTTTTATCTAAGAGATTCCAAAATGTATTATTTTACATATAACATATCATGAACATAGTATAAATATCTTAATCGTAAATTTGCGTGTCAATTTTTGTTAAGAAATAAAAATAAAATGAGTATTTTGTATACTTTATTATCACAAGAAAATTTAAGATAAATTCAATTGGTATAAATTGTACATCAGTAAATGTTTGGGTACAACATAAAATATTTTACAATAAAATTGCTGATTTATATATTTAATGTAAATATTTCTCAAAATAGGTATTGAACAATAATGCAATAGTGACGCTAGTTTAGCTCCCCAATTTTTTTTATAAAACTCTAGAAATAAAACTATGTGGAAAAAATTAATTTTGTACTGATAAATGAACTTAAATAAGTATTGAGCCAAACAAGGCAGAAAAAAAATTTGTAGTTGATAGTGTCCAGTGAATTTTTTTGTGTATAATAATATTTATCAGGAAATATTTTTTACCTACCCATAGCTAACTAAACATAACCCTTTAAAATCATATTAAAATATTACGTTTCCAGCGAACAGTGGTGTATATTGAACTTTAATAATTTAAATGAAATCTTAAATGTTCAATAAAGCAAAATGTTCTAGCAATGCCTCTGCCTGTAAGGAGTGAAGGATATTAGATAAGGTAATTACTTACTGCTAAAATATTTAAAAAAGAATAATTGAGATTCTACGGTTCTTAAATTAAATTTTTTGTTAAATGACCTGTTAAGATAGCAATGTTGACCCTGTGTAGATCTTTGCTATCCTGAACCCAGAATCTGCAAACGTTTATGAACTACATTAATAATTTTAAATTGTAAAATATTAGTATTGACAACTTATTTTTTAAAAAAAATTTTAATTTCGTATTATAAATTAATCAATAATGAATTTAAAACGTCATTTTCATATTTCAAATGAACAATTTAAATTTTATTTACAATTCACACTAATAAATGAAAAATATGGTTAGTCATTATGTGCTTTCTTTAATGAAAAGAATACAACCCTTCATATTGTTAGAGTATAAATAAAAATAATTTTTTGCAAAAATTGGTCAAGATTCATTATTTTAAACATGATCAATAAAAATTGGAGCTAAAAGATAGTTTGTAATATATAACTTGAAAAATAATACTGCTTATAACAATATATTATGCTAAAATTAAATAGAATATTATTTTCTATAAATTAAGTATTTACATTTTACCTAATACTACTATAAATTATATATTTAGTCAAAAAATTAATAATTTGTAAAAAAAAAAAAATTATTTTTATATTGATAATTTCAAAACATTTTACACCCGCACTTAATTCTGTGTCTTACATCCTCGTCATTACCACCGTTCTTTTGCAAAACTGATCCTAAATACTTACAATTTTCCACCTTTCCTATCAAGTACTCACTTATTGCCACTGATATCTTCATTTAACCTACCTCATATTCTACTTTGTCAAACTCGTATTCTGCCTTACTCCTACTTATTCTTATTCCTTTTCCTTCAAAAGTTGATCTCCACACCTCAAAACTTTGATTATTTTCCTTCCTAATTTCTCCTATTTAAACTATAAAAATAAGTAAGTTCTTTAAGTAGAATCTTGGTGTATTCCTACACTTATCTTAATATCCTGTTATTCCACTCTCACTTTTAACCCTGCTACAAGTATCAACATACATACCCTCTATTGTATTAAAGTACCTCTTTACCTTAATGTAAACTTTTTCTTCATTAAAACCTACTTTAAAACCACTCTCCACATTCTATCATATGCTTTCTCTAGATCAATAAATAACATAGACAGTTTTTTTATTTTTTCCAAATACTTTTCTAATAGTTGTCTCACACAAAAATAATCATCTGATATAAAGGAAATTTTCATTTAAAGAAATACAACATACATATTCATAAACATTTTTTATTCACAGTATTATAATGATTATGACATAATAGTAGATAACTTAGAAATTCCTAAAAAAAAAAAACAAATTAAAACTTGTTAAATTATAAAAAATAATGTTTCCAATTTTACTTACTTAGCAACAATTCCATGTTCTTTGGCTAACCTCGTAATGCAGTCATCTGATTCACCCTTCAAAAAAATAATAGTAATAAATAAATAAAAAGTCCTTCAATTAATTACAATAATAAACAGTTTTAAAATTATAAAATTAGGAACCAATCAGGGTAAATTGAATTATAAAAACTTAATGACAATAAAAAAAAAATTCAAGTATATTAGACTTTAAATTGTTTTATCCCTATTGATTTAATGTCACATCTAAATCTTTGAAGTTTTACTAATGTTAAAAGCTCTTAGTTACATACTAATATTATTTATAAAAAATTGATGATAAATTAATTTTCAATAACAATGCAGATGATCAAATAGGTAATATAACAATAAACTATATAAGTTATTATATAGAGAGAGCCACTGACTCAATCTATACAATTTAATTTAATTTTATATTAAAATGTTCATAAATTATATTTATAATATAATTTATTACCATAACTACCTGGATTAAATGGTCCTTTACCAAAAATTAATAAAATACTCTTTCATATAATAGACACTAAAAAAAATAAATTAATTTAGTAATACTAACCATACGACGAATAGCTCCACTAATAGTAAAAATTTTATGGTTTCCAGTTATACGACCAGTTGATGAATCAATTTCTGCCAAATTGATCTGAATGGAAGCATGATCTTTAGCAGGAATAATACGATTGCTAGCAGAGCTAAATGATGAAATTTATAAATGATTTAAGTAAATAATAAACTATTTGACAATTATAAACAATTATAAATTATTCAAATTAATAATACGCCATGTGACGTTGTAAAAGTATTAAACTAAATGTTAAAAATTTATTCTCACCATTTTCTTGGGCAGTACAAATCTACAAATTCTCCTGCGTCGTTTTGCATTATGAAAATTTTCTTGTTTTATAATGAATAAAATTGTAGTCAAATCGACGAAAATTAAATCAAATTATTAAACTTAAATTTTTTTGTTGAACCATTAAGTACAGATATCGTAATCCTATACTTAACCTAAAATATATGATGATATACTACAATGTCTTTGAAAAATATATCGTTTCAACTTTGAGTTATTTCTTCCATGAAAAAAAAAAGGTGAAATTCTCTTAAATTAATGTTGAAGTTTTCTTTTTAAACATTATCACTCAAAATGTTTTTAGAAAAATAAAATTAAAAAAAAATTTACTTTTAAAACGTAACTACTATAAGTTTTTTCTTTAATATATCATACAAATATTATATAATATCTGTTTGATCCACCTCTAACTACAGAAATTTTTTTAATAAAATTTCTTAAACAAAAATTATATTTTTAATGTTTTTTTAGCTTTGATGAGAAGCTGAGAAGGTATTATTATATATTGGTTTTACTATGATATGTTTTTTTTTGTGTGTCTATTACCACTTTTTCTCAGCTCTCACCGAACCGATTTCTTTCAACGATACGTCAAAAGATCACAAATTGTATCTAGTCGAAGAAATTACCCTTAAAAATTGAAAAAATTTCCCTCATTCCCGGTAAATGGGGAAAATCTCCAAAAAAATTACAAATTTAAAAATCACTAATTTTTAAAATTTTTTTTATTTAAAATTGCATTACTTTTTCAAAATGAACAAATTAGTGTTCCGGAAATACTGACACTTTTATATATATCTTAAATTAAAGCATATGTAATATACTTTATTATGGAATTTTAAAATCGCTAATTTTCAAAATTTTTATATTTTACATTTTTCACTTTGTATCTCTATAACTTTTCGAAAAATGTATAGACCAATACAATTTTTTTATGAGAAATAATATTTATATACCTCTTTCATTTGACCTACTTTTTTTTGAATTGGACCATATCCCTTTATACAGGGAGGATTTAAAACTAAAAAATGCATATAGAAAAAAGAACTTTTTCAACTTAATTTTTGAATTTGTTCGGGAAATACTGACACTTTTATATATATATTAAATTAAAGCTTAGGTAATATACTTAAATATAAAAAAAAAAAAATTCGGACTTTAGTTTGTTTTCATAGTGAAAACTAACATCATAATTAATAAAAAAATAAGATTATTTAAAAAAAATTCTTTTTTATATTTTTAATTTTATAATGCTATACGTTTTTGAAAAATGTACGGATCATTATAATTTTTTAAAGAGAAGTACTATTTTTATTCTTTCATTCGACATACTTACATTCATATATTACATTTATAAATCATAAAACTTATGATCACGGTATAAATAAGGAAATAGGAGATCATGTAGCTTTTGGAATAATCAATTAATTTTTTTAAATTAACACATTATCTACAGATTTTCTTTTTCACTTTACTAAAGTTAGCTGTCAAAATTAGTCGAGATACTGGTAATTAAAAGTATAAGATGTCTAATTTTGGGAGTAACTTGTGTTTAATTAAATTATGAAGAAAGACCTTAATTCTAAGGCTAAAAATATAAAAATTCAGTAGTGATATTCAATTTTCAAATTGAACACTTAAGTTCTAAAATTGGTTTTAAAGATTTTATAATAATCGCATAGAATTAGTAAAATAATGGCATAAAAATGTTTTGCTAGAAAATTATTGAAATTAATGTTCGATTAAATATTTGGATTGTTTGATTGTTAGGTTTTAACTAGAAAAGTGAAATATAGATTTGACCACAAAAATCAGTATATTGTAACATCATTAAATTTGAGTTTATATAAAAGTATCACATTATTCTCAAAAAATATATCCCAAAATGGTTTTAATTATGTCAGAATTATAAATCCTCTCTGGTTAAGGGATGATATATGGTATGATGAATGTGGGCCTTAAAGGGGCTTACGTAAGTTAAGATTGATTAGGAATAGATTAATTATAGTGTTGACACTAAAATATTTATGTTAAATTTCAGGTCTAATTACTGTAATAATTTATTGTCAATTAAGGTGTACTTGTAATTATAAAAAAAATTGTTCGTGATATTTTTTATAGCAAACATATAGTTTTAATTAGAGTATTCATAGTTTAGAATATTTATCATATTCCAATAAACATAATATAAGTACTATGAGATGTCAAATTTATATCTCAAAATCTGCTCTAAGTTCTTGTGTTTAGGGTCAATTGCTAGACAAACCATATGTTTTATTTATCTTAAAATACAATAAAGTAGAAAAAATTTTAATTCTATTAACATTTATTAAAAGTTTCATGTAGACAATACAACGAACACTCAATTTATGTTTAAAAATGATACTACACAATTAAAAATTAAATTATCAAATTTAAAGCATTATTTTCAAAAAAAAAAATTATTGAACATGAGTGCCATTCTGCATTATATTATTTATATATAGTATTAACTAAAAATAACAGAATAATAAACATAATAAAATAACAAATAAAACAGTATTCTTTTAATCATAATACATATATATTTAATAAAACAAATAGTTTATAATTTATTTAGACTAATTATTTTTTATTTATTTATAGATTATTGAATAAGCCAAATTTGTACTTAAAAATTGAATTAAATTACATATTAAGTATAATAATCAAGTCAATGTAATAAAAGTTACACAAATATCACAGAAATTTTAAAATTAGTACGAATTAAAAAACAAATTCGTCATGTGAATTCAATTTTTAGTTGTATTTCCATCTTTAGTAAAACTAATTATGGTCCAGATAACCAGACATATCAACACACTTAAGCAAATTCCCATGAAAATTATTTTTTTCTGTAAAAATAAATTATTAAAAAAATTTAATATAATCTAAAAAGTAATTAGTGTATAAGTAATTATGATTTATTAATTAAATTCAAAATACGTAATTATAAAATTAATAAACCACGATACAAAAACTGGTAAAGCAAAACATGAAAAAATAATCCCTTATAAATCAAAAATAAGGAAAATATATGTACATCATATTATATAAAAATTTTTGAAAGCCCAGGAGAGTTAGATATTTTTATTTGTAGTATCAAACCACTCTATCAGTTATATACTTCTGATTAGTTTACAACAATTGAATTATTAGTTTGTCTATTTATTTCTAAGGCAAAATTGTGTGTAATAATTAATTTTATCTTATTAAAATATATTTTTTCGTTTTTGTAATTAACATAAATTACCATTCTGCTCTTGCTCTGATAGAGAACTGCTTTCCTAGTCTCGATTTTAGATGATTCTGCAGCTTCTCCAGCCCTCAAAACATGTTGTTCGATGCTGTCAATTATATCACCCTGGAAAAATGGAAATATGTCTTATTTAAATTATGTTACGAGTACGATCAATCTAAACTTAAATAATACTCAGTAGTACAGCAAAGGAAAGTATTATAGTGTCAATGCCCTTTACCAGTATTGAATCCAGGTATATTTCAGGGAAAACTAAAGTTCTCCCTGGCATTTTGATAACCCCCTGACTATCTCAGGGTGAAAATTGATGTTTTGTTTAATATTGAGTTGAAAAACATATTATTTTTTGCTCATCAAATATTCTTTGTAATAATTGTATGAAAATATGGCAATTTTTTTTTCTGATTGAATCATTACTTCTAATGCCCAAAAGCCCTCCCTAAAAAAAAATTCTGTATATAACACTGCCCTTTCTCATTGGTTGTATTATATATATATTTTGTTTTATTTTATGTTTTATATTAAATATAACAGTTGATCAATTTCATATTTTTAGGTTACGTCAGTATACAAATTGTCTATTACTTAAAAAAAAATCTTTCCACTATTTGAATATTAAATGGTGAAAATCAGTAATACAACTAGGATAAACAAACTATTTATTTATTTTTTTTTTGTAGTAACATCCCCAACCGAAACTAAATCTTGATTTCACTGCTGACGGTATTAACAAAAAGGAAAAACCCCGTTATTGAGATTCAGCATCAAACTTACAATACAACAATATAGAAAAATTAGTCTAGTTACATTCATTTATTTTTGATTTCCTCTATCAAAAAAAAAAAAAAGATTTTTTTGTAAGAATTTATCAAATACAGGTGTTCCTCAATGTTCTGACAATTTACCATAGAACAATATGTAGAGATTTGTCAGAACATCGTGTAATACAATATAAACAGAACTATACATTGAGTACCTTTTTTCCAAAACTAATTATATGCCAAAAAATTTAAATCTTATTAGACAAATCTGATAGAAAACAATAAGTGTTTAAAATAAAAAAATTCATACACTTTTATAAAATTACATTTTTAGCAGACAAATAATGAGTTATCAAAATTTCTTTTTAGACAAAATAGAAGTTATAGGCTATCAAAAAACATAAAAATTATAAAATCGATTTAAATGAATTGGAATATAATTGGTTTTAAAAATAAGCTATTTCCGAAATTTATTTATTATAAGATTTTATTCAAATAAGGTCCTCATATTTCCAAGTAAAGATTATTTTTATCAACCATAACGTTTTTACATGAAGTTTTCAACTTCATGAGCATTTTAAAATAAATTAATCAATTCGAGACATGATTTATCTTATAAATCAGATATTTGAATAATACTAAACATAACTTTAATTTAAAAAAATTACTCTAGCATCAAAACCCATACTTGCTTCTCAACTAGTAACGCCATTTCAACAAACATGTCTCTCAACTCCTGAATGCTCTTTTCTAGTTTTAGAAGTTCTAAGTGTCTGTCTTGAACTTCTTGTAGGGTTCTCCTAGCTTCTAATGTTTCAGCAATAATCTATAGATTAAATTAAACACAATTACTAAAATGTATGTAATACTTGTATTACATAAAACAACTGTGAAAGGACGAATGTATCAAATGAAAATTTTCCCTATTAAATTTTTTAATTTAACATATCTTACTAAAGAAATATTTATTCAAAAAACTAGAGTAATAAATAATAAATAATTTTTTTTTTATTCATCACGTCCATTAGTAATTGAAGGATTTGTATAAGACCTAATGGTGACTAACTAAATTACTAAAGCAAACTGAATTAAAGATAAGTTTGAACTTACGTTCCCATTGAAAACAGCAGAAAAGTTTCCCTGGCTTACGAGTTCTTCGAATTGTTGGCTGGATATTTCAGCTCTTGCTGCAATTAATACAATATATTTAATGGGTACATATTTATTTTAACAATTATTCTTTAAAATAAAATAATTCATATACCTATGGATATCATTTTTTGCATGCGTTCTTGGCATTTTTCTTTATAGTCGACTTGTTCAGCATTGAACTCGGCTAATGCTTCAACCAGCATATGAACGGTTGTGGTGTGTTGCGTTTTTCGGATTCTCAATGCAGCACTCGCTTGTTCACTGTCGTTGGAAAACTCGTCTTCTTCTTGTCGAATCTGTTTCTCCAACCCTATGAAATAGAAACGGTTTTTTCAACGGCTCAACAAGCATGATGTTATAATAACAGATTTCGGATTTGTAATGCTTTATTGAACGAATGACGATACGAAACTGATATTTATCAGTTATGGTGAGACTTTATTGCATTTATTTGTATTTCACCGTAATATTTACAGAGATTTAAATGCAAATGTAAGAGAAACACTTCCTCTTTCAATGTTACGTGTAAACAACAATTTAGTAACACAGACAGTCGCGGATCTAATGAAGTGAAAATGCGGTGCTCTCTTCTTTTGGAACACTGTTTTCATTTAAATTTTAATTATTTAATCTTCCGTTCAAAAATTACAATTAATTGGCTTGCTCTAGTCTTCATTTAAAATAATTAAAATAAGTTTTCATGAAAAATATTTATATAAATTACTATACTTTCAGTAGCGGATCCAGAGGAGCACTCACACCAATCATGATCCTCCCAAAATAAGTTCTACGTCATTATTTCATAATTAACTTGAGTTCATAGAGCCTTATCAAGTTTATTACATAAATTTAACACTACATTGCATATAAGAGCAATGGTGGATGTTTAAAAACATTGCTTTATGCAATATGACAGCACCATTGTAGTTGTCCTAGAGCAAATATTTTGTTTGAGGTCAAATATTTAATTCAAGCAAAAAATACAACCTAGTTATGTCTGTAATCGAAATACTAATTATTTTTTTTATTGGACTTAAAGTTTTTACACGATTGAAAAATAATTTCTTAATAACTTTGGTAAAACACATTTTTTCTTTTATTTAAATTATTAAAAATTTATTGAACTATTAGTAATAATAACGAAATTAATTTTGTGGTTAAATCTTTATCTAAAGTCTAGGTCTCTGATTGGATTAATATTTTTACAAAAACTTCTGTAATACTGCAACATGTAATGATATCTTTTTTACCTTTAACATTTCAATTTATAATGCGTAGAAGAAAAAAGTTAAATTAGCCCAAAATGTCGATTGTAGTATAATTGCCACACCCCTGTCCCAACTAAAATATTAGTCTAATGATATTATAAGCACTAATTATTCTTTCGTCTCTACACTTTTTGTGATCATAATCACAAAACTGGTATTATCAAAAAGTTATTTATATTTTATCAAATTAAAAAATATTTAATTAAAGAATACAAAAAAAAAACTTAGTACACAATCTAATTAAACTCTTGAGTTTATGCATTAATTATTTTTACGAGGATGACCTTTACATTTTGTAAAAATGTACATTTAATTTTACTATTTCAATGTATAGTCAATAAAAAAAAATCAATCGCCGTGAAGTAATTTGAAAAATGAAAAAGATATAAAATTCGAAGGTCGTAAACAATAGTTATAAAAAAAAATATGTTTCATTATAATGTTTGCTATAATATAGTGTCACATACGGTATAAGAAAATCATCAAAAATAAATAGTTTTTAATTTCTCTATCACCTATAAGATATTAAATTTAAATTCATTATTTATTTAGAAAATTAATTAATTACTTTGTATGATTACGGGACTAATAAAAACAAAAAGTATTTATGCGCAAATGTTCAATAGTAATTGTTATCTAAGTAGTAATTGTCGAGTTTAGATCATTTTTAAAATAAATGTCCGATAAGGAGCCTTGGCGTTCAAATAAATGTGTATGATTTGTTATCCGTGTGTGACACTTAAGATCAATGTTGTTGGGAAGACCTTGATGTTAGTTTTGAATCTGTTCTGGGCAACCTACAGATTTCCATTTATGATATTTTTATTAAGGATATTACCTCGTGTATTGGTTATTTGGCATGTTTAATTCATGTATTAAATTATTATACAGCAATTCATACAATAAATAAATGCAACGTCATTTAAATTTCAACGAAAACTTTCATAATACGCTAATGATAGAAATGAATGTAAATCAATGCATCCGTATAGATATTAATTACATTAATAATATACGATATAATTATCTTCCATTATATTTTTTCTATAATGAATTTCATTATATACATTTCACGTGAGCTTCTCTACTAATTAATATTTATCAAATTAAAAAATTGCGTTTTAATCAAAACATTCTAGCATGATTGTGCATAAAAATTCTCCTATAATTTTTTTATTTGACTTTATATTACAGTAAACTAACAATTTATCTTTGAAATGTTGAATAATCTTTTAAAACTATTTTTTAATATAAATAATAATTTTTAAACCTTTTAATGATGTACAAACTTGTTTCCCCATTTTTTTTACATATGAAGTCTTTATGTCTATTTCATGCTTTAAACCTATAAAAAATTAATTCTATTTAAGTATTTATTTTATATCAGTAAATTAAAATGAATGAAACTATACTTTCGTCGTATCTTGGTAAGAGTAACAATTTTCCATGAAGTATTCTCATTAACACCACGTGTTCTTTTATTTGCTTTATCTGGGAACGACAACGTTCGATCTGCATAGTACAAATAAAAATAAAATCAGTAATTGAATAAAATAAATTGTATGATTAAATCATTGAGATAATTAGAAATCTACTTTCAATACTATACATGACATTACAACTTAAAAAAATCAACCTGATTAAAGAAACGTTCCATATAACCAAATTCTGCATCTTGGATATCCAAGGCTACATTATCTACTCCTGCTATATGATGTCGAGGATCCATTCGGTTAATATTACTTGGAAACACATCTTCGACTATCTAAAGAATATAAACAAGGATTCTAACAAGAATTGTTAAAAATATTATATTTTGTGTAAAGGTTTATAACAATCAACCAATCCAATTTTTTCAGTATTTACTACTTAAAATTTCATTTATCCAAAAGAAGTGATAAAATAAGAAAGATCAAGTAGCAATGTAAGAAGCGGTAACGGTAAGTAGAGAAATAGAGAATTTAAAATTTTAGAATTTTTATATTATGACTGTGTTAAACCTTTCATGGATTGTCTTGTTGCTTGAAGTGCTTAAAATGCTCAAGCACTTCAAGCAATTTTTATGTTGTTACCTTTTTCTTATAATTTCATTATATTCATCAATACCTCGAAAAAGTTTATCAAAAAATTTAACTCAATGAAAATTCAAAAAGCCATAAATTCCAGGAACCTCTTTATTAGTTCTTGCTCTAGCCTCCCAAATGTCTAATACAATCACTAAGTTTAAGTTAAAGGTTTAGAAATCAAAAGTTAAAGCACATTACCAAATTTTCATCAAAATCTATTAAAAAAACATTATTATTTGTTTAAGTTTTCTGTAATATAATTAATAAAAAAATAAATAAATTTTATTTTAATAAAACAGAGTTCGATAATTCAACATTTTAAACAAAATCAAATAGAATATATATATATATATATATATTGAGTAATCCATCCATGATGTTTTTGACAAATCAAAAACTTATGATCTGCTAAATATTTTGTGTTACTTTTTTTTATAATTTATGCATACTCATACTATATTAAAATCTAATTTTTATTATTGGTATTTAATAATAATAATAATTATTGGAACTTTATGAGAATAACTAATAAAATTAATAATCATAAGATTTTACAAAAACTACAAAATTAATTTGCTAATATCTTAGTAAATATCGGACAATTATAACATAGAAACAAACGCAAGGCATATCACATAATATACACCAAATAAATGAAATTTAATAAAATTAGTTTTAAATCCTCTTACTTTTAAAGCGCATTAATTAAGTTAGAAAAAAAATGTTTAATACTAAATAATTTTTGGCTTCTATTTCATTTAATTATTGCAAAATATTGAGTTGAATATTTTGATTAAACTTGTTCTTCTTTTTATTTTTTTCCAAGCATTAATCCCAGCTAATTGGGATTGTCCACACTTACAAATTTTTTAATTAAACAATTTATTTTATTCTCTGAAGTAATTCAAGAAAAATAAAATCATTTGGAAACTATTTTAACGATAGTGAACAAAAGTACACTCAAACACTAAATGCTTGTCAAATGTAAACATGAGATAAACACTTCTGAAATTTTATTTAATACCAAAATTATGACAAAACAATTCATTGATTATTTTAATAATTTGTTAGAATTACAAAGTTAACTAGGTTAGCAATAAAATTTAATTAAATATAAAACTAAGTAAGTAGACGATTGAAAGTAATTAAATTATATCAGACTTAATTGAAGAGCATTATACAAAAAGCAATCATCACACATTTAAGACTTTATTTCATAACGTATTATATTTAATAATATTATGTTATTTAATTATAGAAATTTTCATCAATATAATTATTAAGTTCGTTGTTGAACATAATTTTATAGTGAATTTTGGCTTGGTTGGTTGTAGTCTGCAAAAATGCATTATAGGATATATTTTGTCTGTTTGGCTCAGAGTATAGGTATTACTCCCACCTTTACCCCCATTTAAAGACATTCCTGGATAGTGCTAAAAATAATAACATTTTTTTATTTAATTTCATTCATTATGATTGTAATAAACAAATTATCACCATAGATATTGTGTACAAGCGCAATACTCTTAATTATTCTTACTAACAAAGTGATAAAGTAAGATATTAAACGTATCTACTAATATTTACACTAGTTTTCTGATTTATTTTTTGTTTCAAATATTTTAAACAATACCTCTTTACAAAAGCATTGCTATTGTAATACTAACATCAAATGACGTCAATATCATACAAGAACAAAAATCTGACACGAGAGTAACATCTTTCTCGATAATTTACCACTTATTATTTGTAAATAAATGCAAGACGTCACGTAAAATTAAAAACAGTATACCACACGAAAAAACAATTTTTGCATTTCTATTGTTTTTATTTTTGTTTAAATAAATTAACTTGAAAATCGAATAAGTTGTATAATAAAAGCAACTAAATTTTGGTTTTTTTTTGTACTTGGAATTATTATGAGCTAAGGTAAGTATTTTATTTGACTCTAAAACTTTATCGGTAAATGAAATTTTCAAAAAAGATTATGATTCAAAAATATTGAATACAATATATATATATAAGTTATGTACATGTTTGCAAAAATATATTAATTTTATAAGTTACGCACCACTAAACTGAATCAACGGAACTCACCTCTAAATAGGCCTTGAAGTCATATAATGTATAGGGAACAATAATTGGAGGTTTTTCAAATAGTTAGATCAGGACAGTTGGTTTTAACAATAAAACAATTGTTGTTATTTTGTATGTTTAAGTGCAAAGTGAAAACTGTATTGTTATAATAAATCTATATAGAATTTTTAAATATCCATCATTTTTTTAAAAAGTTTTGTTTAAACATTCTGTTCCAAAATAATATTATAATAAGTACTTAATAATGTTTGGCCCCAACAGAAATTTTTTACGGTCACGTTACGGAGCTCTTCCTACTAACACATTGTGCTGTTAACGACTTCTATTTAAACAATAAAAAAAATTCTACTTGTTTTCTCATCAATATACAGTTATAAATTAACATTCACATAAATCATCATAATCATGTAAGAAAAATCAATAATTTCAATCTTAATATTACAATATATTAATTATTACGCCTATTAAAATATTTGCAAGAAAAGAAATAATTTATATTTTCAGCAAAAAAATAATAAAATATATTTTTTATAAAGTTAATTTTTTGAAAATATTAATTATTAACGATACCAACAACTGTATAACTGTATAGGAGTAGATAATATATGCACACGTGCAACCTGACAGCAACAAGTATCTCCAAAAAATGTTTTATTAAAAGTAAAATTTTATAAGAAAATCTAAAAAAAACTTAATTGTTTTTTATAAAACTATGATAGGCACTATTATTTTTTTAGTTTTACAAAAAAAAATTTCGTATCGTGGTGACAGAATATTTTACTGGTAATTAAATGTATAAACATCATTACATATAAACTATAGTTAACACAACATAATATAAATTAGTCAACAGGTAATTTTACTACATAATGAAAATAAAAATAATCATAGGTACTAGGTGATCAAACTTTTTGAGGGGCCAAATGTAATTAATAATAATAATAATTTTGTTCTTTATAAATTTTTTTATATAACAATATTTCATATGTATTTCTATAAATCAATTGTGAAAATAATAGTATAATTTTTTTAAAAATTTAAGGAGTAAGACCCTCTGAGCCTTCTATTACTATTCATTCACAAATGTGGCCAAAATGAACAATTTGTCCAAGAATATTTTGATTTTTAATAAGCAATTATATAAAAATTAAAAATTTTGTTATTACGGTAGTGGTTTAGAGATACAATAAATGTTTATAGTCAAATCTTATTTCCGCAAAATTGTCAATTGCTAATTCACCAATGTTAATTGTTAAGTTATATGAATGTTAAATACAATTCGGTGTATTTATAGTATATACTAAAACTTGTTGATTAACTATATCTATTACTCAAGGTCACATTGGTTAACCAAATAATAAATGAACGACTGACCTGAAAAACAAAATACATCTTTATCCTTAGAAGTGGTCATGTCGATAAAGAAAAGAAGTTAGTTTGTCAATCATAGAAAAATGTTATTTTATAATTTAAATGGAAAAACTTAAGAATAAAACATAAGTTTTATGTATAAAATTTAGAGTTATCTTAACCGTGTTTTTTGCTATCAGTTATTGTTTAGCACTTGTTTAGTTGTATCAACCTGTGGGTACCTAATTTATCACAGAAATAGTTTTTTTTTAAATTGTTCAAATAATACCTACAAAAATAATTTATTTTAAAGTGATGAACATAAATTATTAAAAATATTTCTTAACAAATTACACAATTCAATTTAAAATTGAATTATTTATTTACCGAGTTATGAATTTCACTATATTATAATTTAGGAACGTTCAACATTTTTTATATGTTACTAACATGTAATAGTGGGTAAGAATAATTCTTTGTTTCATAATGAAATAAAAAAACTCACCGTTTGGAATTCTTTCAACCTGTCCTTAACCATAGTATTTAAATGAATTTAAAGATGAACAATTCACTAGAAACTTAGGAACATAATTAGCGAGTCGGTCACGTCTAACCGCATTCTAAGTTATGACACACGCGCTGTCTGCCAAACAAACAGAAACTGACATATTGTTCAACACGCGGGTTTTGGGACATCGTTAAGACTTATAATTTATTACTCCCACTAAAACATAAACCATTAAACATTAACTATGAGATTGAGAATTTTATTGCATGTCTTTTTATTGTCAGCAGCTCAACACTAGAATACATTTACTCTTACTTCAATTCACTAACTCATCTGATACACATCACGTGTCATTTAAATTTGGATATACTTACGATAATTTGATCAATCTTGACATATTAAGATTGAATAATTAAACGTAGCGCATTTTTCTGGCTCACGCTGTATCATAATGATATTCCTCATTGTTGTTAATTATTATTGTTGTTTTATTATTATGATTTTTACTATCGTAGTTTAAATAGCTAAATAACAAGTATTTCTTTATTTTGTTTTCAGTTACAGTTAAAATAAGAAAAGTTCATTATTAAACTTTAATTGCAACAAGAGTGTGTAAATACATAATATATACAAATCAAATAAGAAGCATAAAAATGTATAATGTATTTCTAATATTCGTACGAACTATGTTATTAAAAAATATACATTTTTTTAAATTCAACCTTCTAATATTTCTTCAAAAAAAAAAACTTTAAAATGTAATTTTTTTAGAAAATCTATATCTTGAATATTATTTTTATACCTTTATAACGGGTTTGCACTTGCGTCAATCGTGAATATTAAAAACATGTTTAGGGAAGGTCCATTTATCATATTTTCGTTAAGCGAGACCTATTATTAAAAAGAAAACTTTCGATGCGAAGCTGAGAAGGTATTAATTTTACTATAATTTTTTTTTTTTTTTATTTAGTGTCTGTTACCACTTTTTCTAAGCTCTCAACGAACCGATTTCTTTCAACGATACGTCAAAAGATCACAAATCGTATTTAGTTGAAGACATTACCCTCAAAAATTAAAAAAATTTCCCTCGTTCCCCGTCAATGGGAGAAACCTCCAAAAAAATTACAAATTTAAAAATCGCTAATTTTCGAAATTTTTTTTACTAAAAACTGCCGTAACTTTTTCAAAAATGAACATATCAAAATAATATTTTTTTTTATAGATGCTTGATGTCTTTACCTATTATTTGGCATATTTTTTTTATAAATCTAACCCTTTATCTAAATTAAACACTATCTAAAGATTTGCATCAAAGCGTTTTTTTTTGATAATGATTTTAATCACTGTCAGATATCATTATACTTGATCCAACTATGCCACGTCACTACTTTGCCGCGACCCCCCTGTACTGGGTTTTTGAATTTCTTTTAATTTTTCGGTTGGGTTTATTTCAATTTTAATTCAGTCGATTGTTGAGACTAATGAAAAGTCAAACCCTCTTTGAGTTTGTATAGACGGATATTTTGAAAACATCAGAGTTACTTATATAGTTTCACTATAGAAGTTGTAATATTTATATTGTCATCACTCCATAGAGTAGATAAAATGTGAGTAAATTTTGTTTCATATATCAGTATACAGGGGATATTGTTCATTTTTGTATATAACTATTATTTGAAAAAAATTAATGTTTTTGTTCCAAGTAGCAGATTTATAGAGAGAGAGGCAGAGGAGGGTCTGACAATATTTTTACATTATAATATATATGTTGAGTAAGGCTCCAATACGAATCAAAGTAAATTTTATTCTTTAGGACCTCCCCTAGTGACTGCGCAAGAAGGAAGTAGGGGCAGTTTCCCCGGACACTGCGGTTCTAAAATCGTAATATTACTGAAGGCCACACAAAAGCTTATGTTGTCACTGCGTAGCTCAGAAAAATGATAAAAAACTACCACTGATTGTGCTGCCCTCTCGGCTATAATGATGAACTTAATAATGACTACTTAAGTTCAATGAAATTAATGATTCGAGTTAATAAAATAATTCAGTATAATTTTTAAAAAAGAAAAGATATGTAACTGACATAAAAAATTGAACAGTCGTTAGAATAAAAAAATAAAAGTAACAACAGTAATAATAGTAACTAAATCACATTAATTATAATACAAGTTAAAAACATTTTTTTATTAAATACATAAATTTAATTTAAGTCAGTTTATTTAATTAATATTAAAGCATTAGTATTTTAGAAAAGTAGCATGTCATTTTTAACAACTCGTTACAGGAAAAAACATTATATTCTATTTTTTCGTTTGTGTGGAGTTGGGCAAATAGTTATGTCATCAGGAGAAATAACGTCTGCTTTTTCTATTAATAAATGATCATACTGTCCATCTCTTGCTGTTGTTTCTTTAGCATGATTAGCATATTTTTTTATAAACTCAATAGATAGTTTTGTATCCACATCATTCATGTATAATCTGTTGCCCCATGTCACCAAGACAATTGGCTGTATAATTGTATTTTTACAATCAAAAATTAAAAAGAAAATGTTAAGTATATAATAATAAATTTTTAACTTACTCGTTTTTCAGGTACTAAATTATATGGAGTAATTATATGTCTAAACATACATGATTTTAAAATTGTTCTCATACGTTGTACTAATACAGGATGGGTACAAGGATGATATAACATAACCACAGAACCATGCTGAAATTATAGAAGATTGATAGTCAAAGTATTAAATAGATCATAGTAAATTGATTATGACATACTTCTAAATTATGAAGCCACCTTTGTTTTGGCAAAAATGTATACTCTCCATATCTTGCCCATGCTGGGCGATGTGAGCCACTAAAATAATATTTATTTTTTAAATATCAGACAATTGATAACTACCCAAGAAATATAATTAGAACCAAGTTTTTGAAATTTTATAATATTTCATTATAATAATTATTAATCCAAGGACACAAGGATTATCCAATATAATTTTTTTTTTTTTTTTATGTCTGTTGCTTTTTCTCAGCTCTCACTGGACCGATTTCTTTCAAAAATACGTCAAAAGATCACAAATCGTATCTAGTTGAAGACATTACCCTTAAAAATTGAAAAAAATTTCTTCGTTCCCCGCAAATGGGGGAAATATCCAAAAAAATTACAAATTTAAAAATCGCTAATTTTCGAAATTTTTTCACTTTTTTTTCTTAAAACTTCCATAACTTTTTCAAAAATCAACAAATCAACATAATTTATTTTTATACTAAAACCTTAGATATCTACCTTTCATTTGATATCATTTTTTTGAAAATCTATCACTTAACCTGCTCATTGGGGGGATTTAAAATAGCAACTTTTTTTCAAAAATTAACTTTTTCAACTTAATTTTTGAAAATGTTCCGGAAATACTGCGTCCTTCAAGCATATATCAAATTAAAGCTTTTTTTATGTACTATAAAATGAAAAAAAAAAATTTGTCCCGACACTTTTTCTTCTAATTTAAACGGCTGCCGTAGTTAAAAAAACACTATTTTTGTGTTAAAATTTTCGATTTTAAATTTTCAACTTAAAAATGCTATAACTTTTTGAAAAATGTATATATCAGCACAAATTTTTTTTTTCTAAATACATTATATGTACATCTTTTATTTGACATACTTTTTATTAAAATTGGACAATTACCCCTTATATAGGGGGCGTTCAAAACTTGAAATATTGTAAAAAACATAGATCTTTTTCAACTGAACTTTTGAAAATGTTCCGGAAATACTGCGTCCTTTAAACATATATCAAATCAAAGGTTATGTTATATACTATCAAATGAAAAAAAAAAATTTGTCCCGACACTTTTTTTTCTACATTTAAACGGCTGCCGTAGTTAAAAAAACACTATTTTTGTGTTAAAATTTTCGATTTTCGATTTTAAATTTTCAACTTAAAAATGCTATAACTTTTTGAAAAATGTATATATCAGCACAAATTTTTTTTTTCTAAATACATTATAAGTACATCTTTCATTTGACATACTTTTTATTAAAATTGGACAATTTCCCCTTATATAGGGGGCGTTCAAAACTTAAAATATTGTAAAAAACATAGATCTTTTTCAACTGAACTTTTGAAAATGTTCCGGAAATACTGCGTCTTTTAAACATATATCAAATCAAAGGTTATGTTATATGCTATCAAATGAAAAAAAAAAAATTTTCCCGACATCTTATCTTCTATGTGCAAATGGCTGTCGAAAATGTTTGCGATAAAAATTATCTTTTATCGGGATGTTTTTTGTAATTAAAACTGCCATAACTTTTTCAAAAATGAACAAATAAAAATAATATTTTTTTGTATTGAAACCTTAGATATTTCCCTTTCATTTGATATAATTTTTTTTGAAAATCTAACACTTATTCTGCTCACTGGGGGGATTTAAAATAGTAACTTTTTTACAAAAAATAACTTTTTCAACTTAATTTTGGTTTGTCTCAAATCGGAGAAAGAGTGCCACGTGAGTACAATTTATACAGTAAATTTTTCTTTTCTTAATATTTAAAGTGGGGTGGCGGTACAGTGGGGTCGTAGCATAGTTGGGTCCAGTATAGATGATATCTGACAGTGATTAAAATCACTATCATAAAAAACGCTTTGATGCAAATCTGTAGATAGTGTTTAATTAAAAAAAAAAATTTGTTAAAATAGCATATTTTTGAATATGGTAGCCATTTGCGCATAGAAGATAGGTCGTTGGGACAAATTTTTTTTTTTCATTTTATATTACATAAAATAAGCTTTAATTTGATATATGTTTAAAGGACGCAGTATTTCCGGAACATTTTCAATACTCATTTTTCAATTCATTTTTACATGAATTGCGTTTAAATAAAAATGTATTGCGTTTCAAAATATATTTTTTATATCAGTTGATGTATATACAAGATATTTTATATCTTCACTTGATGAATTCCAAAATCAATGTAAAAGTTATTGCTTTTATACGATAGACGATAAAATATTACTTATAAATGCTCCAGTCAGTTTACAAAATGATGGACCGCTGGGTGCGAGAGACAGAATCATGGCTAAAAATATATTAGAAAACTAATATCTTGTTTACTTTACTGATACACATAAATTTTATGTGCAAACTGAGGGCACAGCAATGGGAAATTCGCTATCATCATTTTTAGCAGAACTTTTCATGAGTAGGTTTGAAACAAACTTAAAATACACTTATGGTGATTTTTCAAAAATTTGGTTTAGGTATGTAAATGATATTTTTTCAGTTATAAATAAAGATTTTAATACGGGGGTTTTAATACAACATTTAAATTCTTTTTACCTATCGATTAAATTCACATGTGAACAAGAAGTAGAGGGAAAATTGCCTTTTTTGGATTTATTAGTTAAAAGAACAGAGGGGAAACTAAGTTTTGAAATTTATCGGAAAAACACACACACGTTCAGATACATTCCGAACACATCGAACCACACCTGGCAACACAAATTGTCAGCTTTTAATAGTATGGTTTACAGATTAATTAATATTCCGATGAATAAAATAGATTTTGATAAAGAATTGGTGGTTATAAAAGAAATAGCTAAATTTAATGGGTATAACGAAAACATAATTTCAAAATTAGTCCGAACACAAAAGTGGAAAAAAGAAAAGAGGGCAGCTAGTACACTCACCAGCGAGGGGGAACAAAAAGTAATTAGATCATCAATTTTATATTATCCGGCCATCTCAAATGGATTAACTGAAATATTTAAGAACTTTGGTAACATTTAAGAGTAATAATTTAAGAGATTTATAAGGTAACCCTAAAAATAAGGTAGATGAAGGGGGGAAATCAGGCATTTATAAAATACAATGTGAAAGTTGTAATAAATGTTACGTAGGACAAACAAAAAGAAATATAGGGGTCAGGTTTAAAGAGCACTTAAGAAATATTAAAAATCAAGAAGTTGAGAAATCTCCAGTGGCTGAACATTTATTGACACATAATCACTCTATTAAAACCATAAAACTAATTAAAAACGTAAATAATTATAAAGAAATTAATATCAGAGAAGCAATAGAAATATTTAAAAATAAAAACAATTTAATTAATTGGGATCTTGGCCCACTGAAAAATTCATTATTAAACTTGTGTAAACTGGCAAAATGTGATAATATTACTTAGTGATAACGTCACTAGGTGATAAGGTCACTAGGGGTATATAAGGGAGTTTTTTTCTAGTCGGGGTGTAAGTATGTGTTTAGCGTTGATAATGGTAATATTTTTTCCGAAATACGTATCCGCGACTTTTCATTAATTTTTTGTGGTTTTGAGTTTAATATTTTTTAGTTTTTTTAATTAATAATATTATTTAATTAATTAGCCACAAGTGATCAATTTTTATTACATATTTGATATATTTAAATATTTTTGGGCTTGATTTTTTTTTTTAATTGAATAGAGTATTGAATTGTCCCTTTTTGGATACATTACTGAAGGATTATAAAAATATAGAATAAAATATATTTACAATAAAAAGCTACAGAAGTAAATAGAGAATACATTTAATAAAATGTGTATACTTACAAAGAAGGTATATCATGGTTGTAAGATATGTTTTCCTTCATACAAACGTGATTAGCCTATTAAAAAAACATAATAATAAAATAAAACGTATAAACATATTATCTACATTATTTATTAGATGTTAATAAACATATTTTGAACTATATTATACTTAATCATATATAATGATATAATGACTTGAATAGATTATAATTAATCTCCCTAAAGAGTTATAACAATTTTCTCATATTTTCTAATTGATAACTACCGTAGAATGTATAAAGATGATCACTTCCAAATTTAACTTAGAAGCATTTATTAACACGAATAAATAAAACTGAGATTTTAAATAAAAGTTAACCAAATATCCAATTTTATGATTTTAAGTTGGCAAAAGAAAACTTTTTAATTTTAGTTTTTAACAAATTTAAATTTAATAATTAATTTTTAAAAGCTAAAGCTAATAAAAATGATTAGAAAAATAAGTGATTAATAATAACAAAATCATCATCTAAACACAAAACTTTAAAATTAAGTAGACATTTGCTAAAGTCGGGCTAGATTTATTAAATAATATTCCAGGTACAAGTCTAAACAAATGATAAATATTTGGCTAATAAACTGTAAATACGAAAAATAACCCTTATTTCTTTTTTATTACTTCAAATACTGTTATCAATAAATTCATTTCCCCCCTCTTTTTTTTAAACCTCTTTAACTAATATTGTGGCTATAAAACAGTAAAAAATTTTATAATCTAAAATAATATTTTATTTATACTGAACATTTACTTGTCCAGATTACACTTTATAATTGGTATTTTTATAGAAAATTGAGTAGATATTCTAATTTCATCGATACGAAGTATTATGTCAGTAGTGACTTGAGCCAAAATAATTGTAATGGTATTAACGAAGTTATTACTGTTATTATGACATACCTATATGATGTACTAAATAAAATTGATTAAACATAATATATATTTCAAAATATGAAATATGAAGAAAAAAAACAGAAAAACCGTATGTCACTAATCATAATAGAATAGTAATATTTGTGATGGTCCCTTGGAAATTCGCCCCCCTTAATATGTTATGATTTTCATTTTGATGAACATCAACATGATTGAAAGTAAATAAAAATACTGAGAAATTAGTTTTTAATTATTAAAACAGTTAGACAAGTTGAAAGGTTTTCAGAATGTATCAAGAAGATTATATATTAATAAAATTAAATAAATTGTTTGAAAATATCATCTATTAAATAACTTCAAAACTCCTTTAATACATACGAAGCATCAGTGGTTCAGTGGTAGAATGCTCGCCTGCCACGCGGGCGGCCCGGGTTCGATTCCCGGCTGATGCATATAATTTTATAGCTTTAAAAAAAGTAAACAGACAAATTATTATGTGTATTTTTATTTACATTTTATATTTAATATCCTTCCGAGATTCTTAATATATTATTGTTTTATGAAAGAAAAACATATACTTCTTGGTAAAGTGAAACAAACCAATATTCAATTACTCTTTAGCTTCTCAGCAAAAAAAAAAAAATCTGGCACATGCCATATTGAAATGTTTCAAAAAATTACACTTGTCATAAAACAGTCGAAAATATAACAAACTGCAAAATTGTAAACATGTAACATGCATACATATTCTTATTCTTCTTCCTCGCCTTAATCGCAATTACTTGAGGTTGGCCACCCTTATCCTAAACTTCCACTTGACACGATCTTCCACATCATCTACGCTCAAATCAGCTGTCCTCATATCGCATTCAATAGCATCCCTCCATCTCTTTTTTGGTCTTCCTCTACCTCTTCTTCCTTCAACATTAATTTCTATAACTGTTCCTACAGCTTCCGATTCTTCTCTCCTTATAATATGACCAAACCATCTAAGTCTATTTTCTCTCATCTTATCCACGATTGACGCTACACTTATACTCCCTCTTATATTCTTGTTCCTTATCCTATCTTCTCTAGTCACTCCACTCTTCCATCTATGCTATACTCATTCTCTGCTCTACTTTCTTATCAAACGCCCAACACTTTGAACCATATATCATAGCTAGCCTCACTATAGTCTTGTAGACTTTACCTTTCAGCCTCATTGGAGTTCTTTTATTGCATAAGACATCAGACGCTTCTCTCCACTTCAACCACTTGCACTTAATTCTGTATTTTACATCCTCATCAATACCCTCACATTTCGCACAACTGACCCAAAATAAGCATACCTATAATATCAAATTAAAGCTTGTTTAATGTTATATATGATTAAAAAAAGAAAAAAAATTTACTATATTTATATTTATATATCTTTCTTGATATCTAAAAATTATCCTAATAATTGTATTATTTTCAGACTAATTGGCACTTTATTTATGCTTTCAAAATCCTTCAGTGGGATGATTTGAGCAAAATTTTATAATTTATCGAGGTTGCGATCAACAATTTTTCCAATCACCTGTCAAATTTTTTTTTTTTGTTAGTAATATACTTTAAGATGCCAAAAGCAAAATATAAATAATATACTTTTCTAAACTGTAATTAAAAAAAATTATTCAAGAAAAAAATTATACATTGGAATAATTATTATGCAGACATATATTTAATACATGGCATTTAAAACAAAAATTACTATTAATCAAATAGTAATATTTGAGTAATTGAATAATTTTAGAAGTCACAAGTGCGACTGTGAATAACTCAACTGGAATATCATAGTTTTGGGGTTGAAGAGATAAAAAAGTTATTTGAAATAATTATAGGAGCACATTTTTAAAGCCCAATAAATTTAAATCTTTATAATAATTGAGATTACACTAATTGCCAAATAATTATGTTAAGATTATTGTAGTTAAGAGTTTCTAAGTTATTATCTATAGTTTGTAAGTTATTGCATAACTTATATAAAACTACAATAGACTTAATAATTTAAAATAAAAATAATAAAGCATTTATTTTGATTTAATTAATCTATTGCTTAATATTTGGAAAATATTAAAATGTTTAAATTATAGAGTGAGTTCAACACCTCCTCTTATATTTACTAGTTTTTCTATGCTTTCATTTAATTAAATATAAAAAGATACCAGTGACAGTTATTATGCACAGGTACATAAGACATAATATTAAATAATTTCATACATTATTATAATTAGACAATCAAATTAAATCTGATAGTAAAAAATAGTAGAATCTTCTAAACAATAGAACTGGATAACACAAACATTAATGAAGTATTTTTTTTTTTAATCCACTATTGGATAGAGAGTAACTATACATTATATGTTAAACTTAATCTAGGGATTGGATTATTTTACAATTAAATTGTTTTAATAAATCAACTGTTTTTATTATTTATTACACTTCAATTTAAACTTTAAGTTTAATGAAAATTTTTTTCTTACCACATAATATTTGGGTACAAGATCTTTTTCTAATAATGGCTCAATTTCTGATAATACTGGTAAATAATCACTTAATAAGCAAGTATAGTTGTACATTGATCCATCCCAATCCATCGTTAAATTTGTCTATAAATAAGATTGCATTGAGAAAAATCAATAAGAGCAAAGATTTTCAAAATTTGTTTGTACTTTTCCATCATCACATGTAGAATTTATATCCATGTAGCCCATTGTTGGCATTTTCATTGTATTTTTATGTAAAGTATAAGAAAATTCTTCGTTTTCAAAATTTTGAGGTTTATCTGGATAGAGGTTTATACTTGGGCGTTCTGGTAAATATCTTCCAGACCATCTAAGAAAACAAAACATATGTATATATATATATATATATATATATATATATATTAGAATATTTTAACTTCACTCAATTTGGAAGAAAATAAACAATGCAAGATAAATAATATAACTATAAATATTACACACAAGGAAAGAACAAAATTAATTTTGTTATAAAAATCTTATTATTTAAGAGTTTTTAGTGTTGTTATTATAAGTATAGAAATATATAATTTATATTAAATATATAGTGATATATTTTGGGTAAAATATTTATTTATTTTTATCTTGTCAAAAAACACCTAAACTTTAATGTTTTTATATGGAAACCCCAATTTGCCATTGATATTTTATTGTTCAAAATAGAAGAAGTATTTATTTTTACATATATTATATTATTCTTGTTTTCAAGAACTTTTTGTTGACAACTTATTATCTAACATATAGAAATCTTATTTTTAATAACTCATGTTTAGTTGTATATAGTACTGGAGTGAAAACCTTTTGGGACCAAATAATTTTTCCCTGTATAAAAAATTAAAATTTTTATACAGTATTTATATTATTATATGAATATCTACTCCAAACAAAAGCTTAGTTATGCTCAATACAGTAGTAGTTTTATATCAACCCAAACCCTTCCTAAACAGAGAAGTATTGGTAAATATATATATTTAAATAAAAAAATTATAATTACTTACGGATGATCCTTTTTTACATGATATGAATTTGAAATAACTTCAATAGGCACATCTAAAAATATTAAATAAATCTTAAAAATCTATTATCAAATATTTATAAAAAACGAATCTCATTTTAATCAACACTTTTATACATTACTTATATAACTTAGAAGCATATTTTTTTAAATATATTTAATTTATAGAATATAACACTATAGGTCTCCTTAAAAATGAATTCTTATAATTTAGAAAATAGCAATGGTAAGAAATACTAAATTTTAGACAATGCATATATTTTTGCTCTGTTACTGTAGTTAATTCATGAGAAAAAAACAAATTAAAGTTCCATTTCTGAGTTAAAGGTGGAGCAACCCATTATAATGGTTCAAATGAAATTAATATAGATTAAAACTACACTTTCGTTATATTTGACATAATAACCAATTTAAATTACAATGCAAAAACTTATTTACTTTATGATTGAATTCTATTGAATTTAATCCTGATAAAGGAATAAATACAGTTTAGCGAATACATGTTTTAAGGTTATTAAATAATTGCTATCAGCCTTCCTATTAAAAGAGTTAAGTTTGTAGATTAAATATTTAAAAATTTTTTTTTATTTATTAATGTTTTTGTTAAATATTGGATTCTGAATTACATTGACATGTTAAAGATGAGAGCAAATTAATGAGGTTTACAAAATATTGATTGTTAAGTATGACACAGTGAATCATTCAGCCACTACCCTATCGCTGATGTTCAGCAGTACTGTTTACTGTTGGTGCCCAGATGGATGACCATACGGGAAAATTAATAGTGTCAAACAACTTGCCCCATACTCATTTTCTAAACTATTTTGAGGTTACGTCCAGTCGATAGTTGGTATAAAATTCCATCAAATAATTAAAACAGAATCGATCCCAAATAGTTAAGATGAGGCTTTGATAATGAAAAAATATTGGTTGTCATTTTATTAAGGTATTTTTATAAATCCTGACATCTGATTTGCATTATTATGTAATCTATGTGTTTCTTAAAATAAGGGGTGGATTAGCCTAATGGCTAGAAACATGTTTTGGCATAAAGGATCCCGGTTTGATCTCCAGAGTGCCAACGAGATTTTTCTTGTGATTTTCTCATTAGTGGTGTCTGATATCTGTTGTAAGCCAGCAATAATATCTGTCCCGTCCATCATTGGATTAGCCAAGAACCATCTTTGACTTCCTAACATATGAAAAAAGGCCACCACCCTCTGTAGCATATTTGGTTTGGAAAATAGAACGATGTTAAACTGATAATTTATTTTATTTTTATTTTTTTTTAAATATAATCAACTGTCTAATATATCATCAAGACCTTTGACTGTATTTGTATATTTAATTGATATACTATTATATTACATTGTAGAGTCTTCCATATTCATATTGTGAATATGCAGAAATAAAATATCAGTAAGAATAGATAAAAAGTTATAGACTTTTGGAGTTCATAAATAACATTATAATCAGGCTGCACCTACTCCATTAATATTCTTCATAATTTAGTTTTTGTTAATGATTTATAAAGGGAAAGTACTCATATTTGAATACCTATAATTAAGATTGCAATTTTGAAAGCCTCTACACCTCTATTTTTGTCTTTAAGTACAATTCTTCAAAATAAAGTGCATTTTGCAAAAAAATAGAATTAGAGCAAATTTTGGAATCAACTATGCACGATGGCTCTGGTGACTGACTTGAACCTCAGACGAAAAGTACTTTAACCTAAATCAAACTTCTTTAGACTTTAAACCTGTTAGACTGAAAGATACAATAACCCAACAAGTCTGAATTGAAAAATTTGTCATGGAGATAAATTACATAAATGCTTTTATAAATTTATAAAATTAACAATAATAAGTTACATAAAATTTAACTAATGATGGCTTAATTTGAAAACAGAAAAAGAAAATGACAAGTTAATAAGATAATAAGATAATACCTACTTTGTTCTTGAATTTCATAAGAATAAGCATGTTTGTTAAGTGAGAGTATAATGCTAATAAAAAAAGTATTTAAGATAAAATAATATGATTTATATGAAAACATTCTTAAAAATTTACAAAAAAAATTGTAGTAATCAATTTCATCACATTCAAATGACACGTAATAAGTTTTTAAAGATGTTGGGAAACTAATTAACATTAACCTTAGGAGAACATTTTTCAAATTAAATATATTAAGCTGTGCATTAATTGCAATATATAATATAGTTGATTAAAATGTTTATATGTTATCAGTCTAGTTGTGTACGTATCACAATATAGGATCACTTTTGATAACAGACCATATTAATTTACCTTAATAAAAGGTTTATACTTTTGATAGTAAAGTATCGAGATAACACGAAAATTACAGACCAAAGAAATTATATAATTACATTTGTTATACTATTATTATTTAAAATTTTCATATTACTCGGTAAATTTTTAAACTTATTACTAATTAATATAAATAATCTAATATACAGTTAAGACAAGTGTTATTTAAAATATTGATTATTTATAATAGCTACACATTTTATAAATATTTTTTAAAACTCAGAACTACAATTTTGAGAGTGTGGTTACTCCTTGACGTGTCCATCGCGTCTTGTTATTTGAGGTTATAAACAAGAAAATATTTTTCGTTTCTTTACTGTGAATAGTGTTCCCGTTTACATGTTTTAGAAATTTGACTTTCATTTTACGTTTATATAATCCGATAAAATGCCACCTAAAGGTGATAAAAAAGGTAATTATATATTTAATTAAATTATTTTTTTCTGTTTTATAATTATCGAGTCTTGTATAGTTTATTTGTTAATTAAATAAATTATGGGGTTTTCAAGTCACTATAAGCACATGGCCTGTTTCTATTTATTAATGTTAAAAGCTTAAAATAATATAAACTGTAAAACAAACTACATTAAATACTTCAGGAGTTCAATAGTTTTTTAATTTTAAGTTACAGAAACTTTAATCCTCTCAAGTCATTTTTTTTAATTGAAATAATAAAATTATTAATTGTTTGACTCGTAAAATATATTTAAAAAAACAATGCCTGCTATGAGTTACTAATAGTATTACATATCGTCTAAATATTAAAACTCGTATTGAAATATAAAAATCATTATATTAAATTGAATTTTATACGTTTAATAGCGTGTTATTTTTTAAAATAAATTTGATCAAGTATAATTACAGAAAATATTTTTGGTTTTTGAAGTCTTATTATTATTGTTTTATTGTATAATGAATGAAGATTCAATTATAGTTTACAATTTCGATGAATTTATTTAAGTCTATCAAGTATTATTTTTTAAACAAGCCTGATGTATAGTAATGGGAAGAACACAATTGCATTTAATATGTTACATCAGTTTTATAAAATCAATTAATAAGTTTTTTTTATAATTGAACTATTTAGTGTATGGATATTTATAATTTTATTAAAAATGTGCTGTCTTGTGTTTCAATAATTTATAATTTTAATTTATTTAGAACTTAAGTTAAGGTTTTTTCTAAATTCTGTAATCTATTTAGAGTAAAAATGTATATATGGTTCATTATTTTCAATAAAAATTTATGCTGCTAAATAGTTTATTCTTAAATTGTAATATAAAAAATAGGTTTATAGGATATTCCAATATATTGAATTATATTAAATATATATAATTATTATGTATCCTGTTTTTAGTTTTATATTCCATATTAGTATAAAAATTAAAATTACATATACAAATGAATGCTAAAAAATACAAATAAGTATCCCTAAAATGGTTTATATATTACATAAGTATTATTGAATAGTTCTGGCCTGTTAACCATTTATTTCAAAAAAATATACTAATTTAAATAGAACATTTATTAAATTGTATTTTAATAGCAATAAAATCTTCTTTAACTTACAGTATATCATCATTGTCATAAAAACATCTCCTATGTGCCAAATTTTTTATTGAGGTTTTGGTATCACTGAATTTAAAAAAAATTAAAAATAGGCATAATTAATAAAATAGAAAAAACTTTAATTTTCATTTGTTACCTATTGTGAGTAGAGTGTGAAATACTATCCAGGTGATTAAAATTTATATCAAAATTACATAGGAATTATTGTACACAATAGTAAGTGTAGTGTTGTATATGTAATTTTACACATAATACATTTTCCCATGTTAATAATAATTATGTTCATGATAATATTATTATAAACCTATATAATTTTGGCCAAATATTTTAATTAACAAAATTTTCTATCTGATGAAATATTTTTAATTTACACAATAATCCATGTAACTATTATACTTTTTACATATTTGTCTCCTGAAAAATCGGGTTTTATCACATGGAATTTTTTTTGTAGCAACAGAATTATGTGTTTTTTATTTTTAATTAAATTCCTGAGGTATCAACAAAGAAATGTATTTTATTTTAATTGTTACTTATAAGCAATATTGCATTAATTGTTCTAGTTAAATAAATTTTGATAATTTTATTGCTATTTCTAAATTTCTAAGTAAAAGTTGCTGAAGCTAATTTTAATATTATTGTTCTCAAAATAAATTTTTGTAAAACAAAAATAATAATTTTAAAACCTATTTCAGCTAAACCTGCTGCTTCTAGCAGTGGTGGTGGGGATAAAAAACCATCCAGTAGTGAAAAAAAAGAAAAACCAACAGCTTCAACATCAGCAAGTAAACCTGAAAAGAAACAGCCAGCACCTGCGCCTTTATTAGATGCAAAGAAGGCTGACAAAAAACCTGCAGCTGATAAAAAACCAGCTCCAGAAAAAAAAACTGCTGCTGCTCCAGAAAAAAAAGCAGCACCTGCTGATAAAAAAGTACCAACTGATAAGAAACCTGCAGACAAGAAGAAGGATGAACCTAAAGCTAAAAGTGAAACATCTAAAAAGGGTGAACAAGCTAAAGGTGGTAAAGGTGCTGATAAAGGTACTAAACGTCCAGCTAATGAAAATGCTGGACCATCTGCCAAAAAAACAACTGCTCCTAAAGGAGATAACAAGAAAAAAGAAGCTGAAAAACCTAAGAAAGAAACTGTCACGAAAAAAGAAACTGCTGCAAAAAAAGAAACTACTGTAAAAAAAGAAACTGCTGTTAAGAAGAAGAATGCTGATACCCCTAAGAATGCTCCTCCTGCTAAGAAAGCAGCATTAGATCCAGCTGCACAAAAAGCCAAAAAAGCTGCTCCTAAGAAAGACAAATCTAAAGCTGCTGCTAAACCTAAGACCACAGATAAGAAAGATCCAAAAGCTGCTGATAAAACCAAGAAAGCTGCAAAAGGTAAATCAACTGCTGCAAAAAAATTAACAAAGGGGCCTGCTGCTGCTGCTGCAGCTAAACTCAAAAAAGAGAAGAAAGCTGATGGTGCTAAAACTGAAAAGAAAGGTGTAAAGGGATTGAAAGTTGGATCTAAACGTGATGCTGTGAAAAAAGCTCTGAAGTCTAAAATCAAGGTAAGGTTCTTTCTCTATTAAGTGTGAATGTTGTGAATTAAGTTGATTTTTATTTCAGACTTTGAAAGGACCTCATGGAACTAGAATACGTAAAATCAGATATTCAGTACATTTCCGTCGTCCTAAAACTTTCAAACCTCCAAGAAATCCAAAATACCCTAGGAAGTCTGTCCCAAAAAGAAACAGGTTTGTTGTATCAAAAGTTTTATGAATTGTAGAGGTAATATAATATTTTAATTTTGTAGGATGGATGCCTTCAATATAATTAAATTCCCTTTGACTACTGAATCTGCTATGAAAAAAATTGAAGATAACAATACCTTAGTTTTTATTGTACACTTACGAGCAAACAAACATCATATTAAAGCTGCCGTTAAAAAAATGTATGATATTAATGTGGCTAAAGTCAACACCTTAATCAGGTAAATATTTGTAATTATTTTGAAGTTGCATGATGAATTTTTGAGAATCTCTCAGATTTCATGATAAAAACATGTAAAGCTTATGATAGAGTAATTAGTTCTGATAACTTCAGTCATATTATATAATATTAATTGTTTTTTTAAATAAATTTTTATTTAAAATTGACTCTTAATGTGATGACTTCATGAGAATCTCTCAGATAATTATGATAGAAGAATTATGTTGTCTGATTGGGTTTCAATAAAGTTTTTTTAATTAGTTCAAGTTAAGTTACTTTAATATAAAACATAAGTTAGAATATAAGTTAGTTTCTGAAATTTTCCGAATTTGCAACTTAGTTAGAAATTAGTTTATCGATAATAGTAACTTAAGTTAGAGTAGAAGTTATAAGTTACTTTTTTTAGCTTCAATAAGAAGCTGAGAAGGTATTAATTTTACTATGATATGTTTTTTTTTCTGTCTGTTACCACTTTTTCTCAGCTCTCACCGATTTCATTCAATGATATGTCAAAAGATCACAAATCGTATCTAGTCAAGGACAATACCCTTAAAAAATTAAAAACATTTTCCTCATTATCCGTAAATGGGAGAAACCTCCAAAAAAATTACAAATATAAAAATCGCTAATTTTCGAAAATTTTTCAAATTTTTTTACTTAAAACTGCCATAACTTTTTCAAAAATGAACAAATCAATATAATTTTTTTTTAGAGATGCTTGAAGTCTTTCCCTATCATTTGGTTAAGTGTTTTGTTCAAAATGACAACTTTTTCAACTTAACTTTTTAAAGTGTTCCGGAAATACTGACACTTTTATATATATCTTAAATTAAAGCTAATGTAATATAATTTATTATGGACAAAAAAAATTTCGAACTTTATTTTGTCTTCACGGTGAAAATGGCAGCTACCAAATGCTATTTTTATGTAAAAATTCTCGATTTTATTTTTTACATTTTTAACTTTATAATACTATAATTTTTTGAAAAATGTATGGATCAATACAATTTTTTTATGAGAAATAATATTTTTTAATAATCCCTTTTTCATTCGATATACTTTATCTTAATTAGGATAATAATAAGGAAATAGCAGATCATATAGCTTTTGGAATAATCCACCAATTTTTAAAATTAAACACTATCTAAAGATTTGCTTCGAAGCGTTTTTTATGATAGTGATTTTAATCACTGTCAGATATCATTATACTTGATCCAACTATGCCACGTCACCACTTTACCGCGACCCCCCTGTACTGGGTTTTTTATAGTTTAAAACATAAATTTAAAAACTGTTCAAATGTAAATAATAAGTAATCTACCTTATATTTTAATTAAAATGAAAAATTTAATTAAACAACTGGTACTTCGATCAAAATGTGCTAAGTAGTTAAGTAATAATCTTAAATTTTTGGAATATTAGTTATTACTTTACTCTTTTTATGATATGAAAATTTAAAAGTATAACAAAATAAAAAAACCCATTAGCTATATACAAAAATGAACAATATCCCCTGTATACTGATATATGAAACAAAATTTACTCACATTTTATCTATTCTATGGAGTGATGACAATATAAATGTTACAACTTCTATAGTGAAACTATATAAGTAACTCTGATGTTTTCAAAATATCCGTCTATACAAACTCAAAGAGGGTTTTTGTCAATTTTATTTTTTTGCTTTTTGGATTTTGTTACCTTCAACTATGATTTCTATTATTAAAGTATGAAGACCAAGTACTTATTTAACTGATTTTAATTAAGACCAACAGAGTACCAGTATATGCATTAATATAAATCAAATTAAATTTGATTGTACTTTTCTGCTTTTTTAAGATAAAAATAATATATTTTAATCATTCTTGAATTTATTTTTAGATTTTTTAGAATTAAAAAAAAAAATGATTCTTGTTATGAAACACCAAATGAAAAATATTAAAAAAATTAGATTATGAATAAAATATGATCTAAAAAGATGAAATGATAAAAAATCAAAATTTCGAATTCCGTTTGCATTTTAATAGCAATAAAAAAAAAAAGTGCTAAGTACATTTCCTTCTAATGGATAATAATTTTTATTGCCTATATAACTGTTATATGTATATATTATAAAATTAAAATAATAGTATTCATTTTTTTAAAACTGTAAAATAAAAAAAAAGTTTATTGGCTCATCAGTCAGTTATCATGTTTGTGTGCATGGCTTCAGAATAATTGCAAGTCTTGATAATATTAATAATATAGGTAAACTGTTAATCCCTAATAAAACTACCATGACAGTTTAGTATTGTATCACAAAATACTCATTATTAATTAAATGAAATTTAATAGTAGATTATACTTAAGTTTTACTATAAAATGGGGCAGCCTATCATTGAAAATAATTTAGTAATTAACATAATTCATTATTTCAATTTATGGATGAGACTTAATATTTTTATACCATACAATAATATTGTTTAAATACAGTTGGATAAGTATTTCAATCTATGCAAGTAATATTTTATTGGAATTAACATAGTTTATAGATCTAAAAAAAAATTAAAATCTTATGCATCACATACTTAAGCTAAAACAAAATTTTTAGTCAAATTGTAAATTTTTGAGAGTTAATATATATATTACTTTATTTAAATTGCAGGCCGGATGGTAAGAAGAAAGCATATGTAAGATTAGCAAGAGATTATGATGCTTTAGATGTTGCAAACAAAATTGGTATCATATAAACGTCTAAATGTTGTATATTTACTTTATTTTAATAAAAAACAAAAATACAACAAACCACTGTTTTATTTTATTTAGTAAAGGATTTTTAACAAAATTTCACAGAATACTATGTAGTGTTTGTTAACATTTTAAATCTTAACAACTTTATGGACCCAGTATGGTATTTTTATAGTAAATCATAGAAAATATAATTTATTTAAATTTTATAAATAATGTGTAATTGTGGTTTGGCGCAGTAGATCATTCAATAACTAACTTAGTGCTGATATTCAGCTGCATTTTTTCTGTTGGTTCCAGATGGAACTTAAACAGTGACGCACCTTTTTCCCCATGCTGATTTCCTTAGACATAATGAGATTTTAACAGAATGACAGTGGTATAAAATATAGTCAAATCATTAAGATAGCTGATTCCAAATAGTTGAGATAAATCTATGGCAATAATGATAGCGATATTGATGAATATATAATTGTAAAAATTTTAATAAATTACATTAACTAGAAATATAATTCTGATAGATTTAAAATATAACCATTTTTCGCTAATATCGGATAAGATCAAAACACATAAACTATAGTCACAAAATTTATAAATTTTGTCAAGTTATTCTGAATACTTTAGCCAATGCAATTTTTTATTAATTGGCTTAAAAACAGTAATATACTATAACTTTATAACAAACTGATATTCTATAATTTATTCAAATATAAGAAATATTTACCTTCTAGTGGCAAATCAATTTTAGAAGTGGCTTTAAGAAATATACCTTTTCAAATGTAATATTAAATATTGCTTCTTAGTATTTACTGTGATCAATAGTTATGTTTAAGCAAATTTAATGTTAATTAACACCATATAAACCTTATTTTTAATAGAAAGCACAATTTGAAGAATATACAAAATATTAGTTACCCTCCATGGTGAAATGAAAAAAAAAATAATATAAAGAAATTAAATAAAATTACATAACTAGAAGTTCAATATATTGTACTTTACGTTAGTAGTAGGAGTGAAAAATTACGAATTTCAATTTACTTTATTTTAATAATTATAAGTATAAGAGTTTAATAAAGAAACATATATTTATATTAATGGTTAATTTTTATAGATAAAAAAATAATTTGCTATTATAAATATTATTTAATTAAAAATATATCTTCTAAATTTAATAAATTTTAAAGTTCCTCAGAGAAATTCTCGTTCCTATTTTCTTTTTTTTATCCCCATTTGTTCTACCAATTACTTACAAAATGAGCCCATTAGAAGAATTTTAAATAGTGCCAATATGGACCCACTTATGTTATCTTGTTAACCACCTTATTTTTGTATTTTTCTTATTTTTGTACCTCATAGCAGCTTGTATTTTTATATACCTATATTCGTATATTTCTGTTGAATCACTGTGAATTACTCCGTAATGTTATTTATGTTTCTGTTGAATTACTCACTTATGTTATGTATGTTTAAATTGTTATTAATCTAAATTGTAAAAAAGGGCTATGCCCGTTAAATTTATAAATAAATAAAAAAATGGCATAACTGAAGAATTTAAAATATTTTTTTATATATAAAAATATTACTAAAAACGAATTTAAAAAAATCATATTGTATACAATCAAATTTCTTAGTTGTTATTAAAATTTATTTAACAATAACTCAAAGATATTTCATAATACGTTCCCTAAATTAAATTATCATTCACTTACAATAAATTAATATCAATGAGATTATCAGATAGTATTACTACAATTTTATAGTCATTTAATGCATACATTTTTAATGGAAAGTTACATACTTATAACTATTTAGCGCGAAAAATTTCTTTTCTCAGTTCATACTGTAATGTTTGATATCGTATATTAAACGGAAAAACTTAAATTTTCATAAACTTTAAATACAGATAATTTATTACTGATCATTAATGAGATATTTTTTTACCTAATTTTAAGTTCATATCTAATCAACAAATTGACTATCTTTAAATTTTTTGTAATTTAAAATTTTTTTTTAATAAATTAAAAATTAAAAAATGTTATGTTATTTGTATAGTCTTAAAGTATAAAAATTATTGAAAAATTAAATTAATGTAAAATAATAATTAGACCAATCTAAAATATTTATTTAAAATAAAACAGTAATAATCAATGTATGTTTATTCATACATTCTTTATTAATATTTCAATTAAATCAATATGTTGATATTGAATGATTGACGATATATTTCAATTAATTGTATGGCTAAATATATAATAAAATAAATTGAGGAAAGTAGGTAAATGCTCAACTAATCTAGCCAACTATAAAATTTATTGATAACAAATGGGTTTTATTTTGAAATCAACAATAATTAGTTATATAGTAACTATAATAAAAATAAAATTGAGTCAGATTTTTCCTTTCATTTTTTTCCACGACGGGTTTTGACAAGTGGCCTTGCTCTTGCACCCTTTTTATTTGATTTTTTCTTATCCATTCTCATTTTAGCTCGCATATCTTTTTTCATTCTTGGGTCTACAACCTTATATGGACCTTTAACACCAGGTGGACGTTTTGCTCTTTTAGCAGCAGTATGTTTCTTTGATACTACATACTTAATTTCTGCTTTAGGTTGTTTTAATTTCTTGTATATCCTAAAAGAGATAATTTAATTTTTAAATAACTATTAATATATAAAATTATATAGCATTTAGTTACAAAGTATTATAAAAGTTAAAATTTGATTATTTCACAGATACAGAAATAATTTTTTTTTTGCTTGAATTTATGAAAAATATTAATATTTTATTAAACAATTATAATTATTATAGTAAAAAAGATTGTAACTAGATAATACTAGATAGTAAACTTATCTAACTACTTACTGTCTAACTTGTCTTGCTTTTTCAGCTTCAGTAACATCAGCATTTTCTACAACACCTTCTAATTTTTTTTTTGCCTTTTCCATTTTACGTAAGGCGCGCTTTTTCTTTCTAGCTTTAGCTTCACCGACTTTTTTTATTGGGCGTACATTAATTTCTTCATGTCTTTTACTGAATTCATTGACTAATTCCTAGTGTAAAATGAATATTTTATTTGTTTAAATACATTTAACTAAATAACTAGTGTTATTGTGATTTAAAAAAAAAAAAAATCAACTTAGATAAAAATAGTTAAAATTAAAAATCTTACTTTTGGTACAGGCATTTCTTTGTGCATGTGTTTTGCTTCATCTTGAACAAACCAGTCTGGTAAATCTTCATCATTAAAGGCATATCTATTCCAAGCAGCATCTATAATATCTCTTTTCATTTTCTTTGAAGAGGCCATCAAGGTGCCAAGTGCTAATCCATTATCATTTAAAATTCTAGCTTCTTTTTTCTTTCGTTTTTTACCTTTCATAAATATAATATTAGAAAAATGTTTATAACTTGGGAGCTATAAATAATTCTTACCAGCTGGTGTAAGTACAGGCTTATCATCCCATTCATTCAAAGGTATAGCACCACTATAATTGTCTTCTTCTTCCCTCATATCTGAATCAGAATCAGAATCTGTAGTTTCATCATTATTGCTAACCATTTGAACAGTATTTTTTTTAATATTGTTTTCTTTATTATCATCAGTTTCATCACTATTGTTATCTAAGTTGTCTCTATACATTTTGCCACCTTTAGCTTTTAAAACTAATGCCATTTTATCCAATTCATAATCTTCATCTTCTTCTTTTTCAACATCTTTAAAAATATCCTACATAAATAGTATTGTAATTAGTAAATATATTTTTTGGTATTGAAATGAAGAAAAATACTTTATCAAACCAAAGTTCTGCTTTTGACATCCTCTTATCTTTAACATCTCTATAATCAAGATCTGTTAGAAGTGGGTGATTTTCATTGGGATCTGAAAATGTCACTTTTTTCTTGGGAAGAGTTTTAAAAGAAAGATCTTTATCTTTAAAACCTAAAAACATTAATTTAAAATTAAGATTAAATTGAAATAAGAAGTGATTTTAATTTTATAAATGATAATACCTAATCCTTCAGTATCACTGTCAATATCATCGGATGATTCATGTTCCAATTCACTTTCATCAGACCGATAAAACCTACACAAAATATATCATATTAAAGTTATAAATTATACAATAGATTTTGGTAACCCACATTCCAGATTTGTCGAGGTAAGTATTGCTTGGATCATACTTTGCCTTTTTTGGTTTAATTTCAATGTCTGAATCTTCAGAATATACCATATCTGGTTCTTGATCAACTACTGCCTCTAATGCTTTTTTAGTTTTTATATCAGATAACTGAAACACCCCAGTTTCTCTTTCTTCAGTTGGACCTAAATCATTTTTATGAACCATTTTTAAATTCATTTTAGTGTGTAATTTTGTTCTTTCTTTGTTAGTCTTCTTTTTTTTACGTTTTAATTCTCTTCTCTCTTCATCCTAAAAAAAGGTTGTAAGTTTATTAGCATTTATATAGGTTTATCGAAAAATTTATTTAAGATTTTAGACAAACAACCAGATTTAAAAATGAGATTTAGACAAAATACAAATTGATAGTTTATATTTTGACAAATATAATTAAGTTGTCAAACAATTTCATCAAAAATACTTTGTGTCACAATCAGGATAGGACTGTATTATAGGTATACTGAAAAATTCTATTTGTGAGACACAGATAAATTGAGGCCATGTGAAGCAAGAGACTGAAGACAAATTGTTTAAAGGTATTATTATAAATTATTGAAGATAAAAAAAAAAAGATATAATACCTATAATTTGTAGATTATGTTTAAGGTTTTTACCGATTTCATGATAAAATTTTAATTATTGACTTGCAAACTTATACACACTTTATTACAGAAACAAGGGATGGGCAAAAGTATAAAACATTTAAAATTTATGTAACTAATTATTACCAAATCAATTTTTACTACTGGTGAAAGTTTCATACACATTTTTCATTTTCATATTACCCAACCCAACTTCTATGTAAGAAAATGTTTTTTGATCAAGGTAAATACTTATCATCCAATTTTACAATAAAAATTTTAAGGCTAATGCAAAATATGTGTCTAGATTAAAATCTTTTTTCTGGTATATAATTTAGAGCTAGTCAAATCCTTATCTTACGGGTGAAGTCCTGTGGTACTATCCTCTACTATCTAATTGTCAGGGGTTTTGAATGTAAACATTTAATTATAATACTGGATATAAAAAGCAGAATTTTAGAAACCAAATTTGGTGAAACATTATTTGGTAGGACTATTACACTTATAATGGATATATACCAAAAATAATTGTATCAGTTCACATTTTATTATGAACCTAAAAAACAATTTGACCTGTTACAGTCATTTTTTTTATGTACCCAAAAAACAAAATACACCTCAAACTGGTATTTTAGTTACATATATATGCTGAATGTAATCATTACAATAAGTTTCAGTATATATCTAAAGTTATAATTTACATAAGTTAAAATTAATTAATAACTGATATAGTTAAATTAACTTATTGTAACGGTTAAATATTAAGTTACATTTTAAAACTCTAAGAATTGTACTAGATTTTTCTGTTTTTCTTTATTCTAATATAGAATAATTTATTAAATCTAAATTTAAAAAAACCCGGCACCGTGGTAAAGTGGCATAGTTGGATCAAGTATATTATCTGACAGTGATTAAAATCACAATAAAAAAAAAACGCTTCGATGCAAATCTTTAGATAGTGTTTAATTTTAAAAAATTGGTGTATTATTCCAAAAGCTACATGATCTGCTAGTTCTTTATTAATATCTTGATTAAGATAATGTATGTCCAATGAAAAAGGGATTATTAAAAAATATTATTTCTCATAAAAAAATTGTGTTGATTCATACACTTTTCAATAAGTTATAGCATTATAAAGTTAAAAATGTAAAATATAAAATTGAAAATTTTAACACAAAAATAGCATACGGTAGCTATTTTCACCACAAGTTCAGAGGTCAAATTTTTTTTTTCCATTATAAAGTACATTACATTAGCTTTAATTTAAGATATATATATAAAAGTGTCAGCCTTTCCGGAACATTTTCAAAAGTCAAGTTGAAAAAATTAATTTTTTGTGAAAAAGTTGTCATATCAAATCCCCCCCGTGGGCAGATAAAGGGTTAGATTTATAAAAAATATATGCCAAATGATAGGTAAAGACATCAAGCATCTATAAAAAAAAAATTATATTGATTTGTTTATTTTTGAAAAAGTTATGGCAGTTTTTAGTAAAAAAAATTTCGAAAATTAGCGATTTTTAAAATTGTAATTTTTTTGGAGGTTTCCCCCATTTACGGGGTATGAGGGAATTTTTTTCAATTTTTGAGGGTAATGTTTTCAACTAGATACGATTTGTGATCTTTTGGGGTATCGTTGAAAGAAATCCGTTTGGTGAGAGCTGAGAAAAAATGGTGACAAAAAAAAAAAAAATAAATAAAAAAAACACATAGTAAAACCAATACCTTCTCAGCTTCGCATCGAAGCTAATACTATTTAGTGGTAAAAATGTTATTTTGGGTAAATATTTTCATATGTATTTATTTACTTGAAGTTCTTTAATTTGTTTATCAACTTCATCTAGTTCTCTCTCATCTTCTGATAATTCAATATCATTTTCTTTATTTTCATCTCCTGAATCTATTTCTTTGTCATCTTTTGATTCTTTTTCTTTTTCTTGAAATACTTTCCACCAGTTCATTAACAGTCTAATATCTTTTCGTCCTAAAACTTTGATATCTTTACAACATTCCAATATTTCACGGGTAGTGCTTGGATGATTTTTTATATCAGAATCATCAATTGTAATCTATAATATATAATATATTTACATTAATATTAACTTATAAAAATATATAATAAGTATATATGAGCAACAGTATAATTAAATATATTGATATTATTTATATACATATTTTTTTTTAATAAAACATTAATTATGGAATTATTTTTCTTTTAAATAAGTGTAATTAAACCACTATAAGATAGTGTTACAAACTAAATTTAAATACTAGAAATATATTTTTCTTACATTTTAAGGGATAATTTAGTACCAGGTTACAAATAGGGTAAGATAGAGAGTAAGTTGACAAATTTGATATTACTCAAAATGAATCACAAATAGGAACACATCCTTGCAAAAGTAAAAGGCTCATGTAGTACACATTGTGATTCACTAATATTAACACGTTTACGCATATGCTAATTATAGTTGTAAATAAATTCATATTTAACTCTTTATTTGAAGAAATTTTTGAACATAAAAACTTAGGGTATTAGCATTGCATTGTAATGGTATAAATTTTTTAACTTTTTCTCTTGAATACTCTAAAATGTCTACTTAATATCTATAGATTCATAAGAGACCTATTTTATTTTCTATAGTTTTCTCATCATCTAAACTTACAGTTAGAGAAAAATGATAATTTTTAAGAAAACCCATATTTTTTCTTTAGAAGATGAGAAAGACAATCGAACAAATGAAAATTCATGGTATAAGACAAGATATGAAAGAAGTTCTCATGAAAATTTTAGTTTATGATTCCATTCATAGAAGTCACAAAAAATCATTTTTCATCATCATACATTGCATTGTAAGATAAATACAACATAAGAATTTATCAAAATAAAATTTGAAAATAAGAGTTGGGGGAAAATTTTTTATTTTAAACATTTGAAAATTATATTAATTTTGATTAATTTAAATATAGGCATCATTTAAAAACATGATAAAACTTTAAAAAATGTTATATTAAATTAATATAATTGCTTACCACTAAGAATTAGTTATTATTAAATACTGAATAACAATTACTAATATTATTATTAATAGAAGTTAAAGAAAAGAATAATTAATTAACTAGAATATTATTTTAACTTTACAAGTACTAACAAAATAAATGAAAAGGTCCATACTATAATTATTATGAGAGAAAACTAAATAAAAGAGTTCATTTTATAGTAGCGTAAATTGAAATGAAACTTATTTATGTTTTAAGGTATTTATGATTTACTGTATTTCAGATAGTGATCTGAAAGTCTTCTTGCAAGAAAAGTTTAATGCACACATACTATGAAAATAATTATTAATATTTTTAATTTTAAACTAAGAATGTATAAATTTAAATTTCCATACTATCATATGAAAACCTATTTTTTACTTAAAAAGATAAATCTTTGAATAATTCTACATACTAATAATATTTACCTCATAGGCATCTTGCAATGCTATAGCGGGATTTTTACAAGCCATATAAGTTGAAACTGGAAGTTGTTTAAATAATATAGTAGTATTATCAGGGTAACCTTCTGCTTTTGTCTTTTTAGATTTACTTTCAGAGTCCAATTTAACCTAAATATTAAGTTATTACAATTTACAATGATTAATTATAATTCAATTAGTTTACCTGAGGCTTAACTTCTAAGTCTTTGAAAACATAATTTGGATTGAAAAACCGTAAATCTAATTTTGCTGGCTGTAAGTAATGTTGACAAACAATAAAAATTTCAGCAGATTCACTTCGTGAGGCTTGAGGTTTAGTGGCATGAACTTTTTTAAATAGTTGTTTAAATACCCACATTAAAGCGTTATAATCTTTGGATCGGAAAACTTTGGTTATAAACCATCCGCCTTCTCTTAAATTGTAACAACTAAGTTTTAAAGCACTAAGTGTGAGGCATGTCTGTGAGTAAGCATCATAAATCCAATTTTGACCTAATCAATTAAGTTAAGTTATTGATATGCCTAAATAAAGTTAAGGACTAAAGAGATCACCACTAACCCACATTGGGAGCTCCATCATTAAGAAAAACGTCAGCTTTAAATGATTGCAATTCTTTAGAAAGTGCAGATTGACATTCAGGAGTTGTGATATCATGTGTCAAACATATACATCCTGGTACAGGTTTTATGGGATACATATCTATACCAATGACAATGCTTGACACAGGCATATTCTGTTTTGCTACTTGCATCCATCCTCCAGGAGCGGCACATAAATCAACTAAAACACGAGCTTTTTGAAGAAATTCAAACTTTCTATTTAATTGAAGCAACTTGAAGGCAGCTCGAGACCTAAAACCTATAAAATGAAATTGATTTTATTAAATTAGGTAAAAAATATTTCACTCAACCAACATACCAGTTTCCTTGGCTAAATGGTAAAACTTATCTTTACGCTGTTTTCCAATTTTACTCTTTTTACCCATTTTAAGTAAAAAATATACTTATAAAAACAAATTTATAAAAGTTGAGTGACAACAACGCCACTGTAATAATACTTTATTCACAATGGCTGCATTGTTTTAAAATAAATAATTTTAATACATCTTAAAAAATGTATACAAAATTTTAAATTATTATGTATATTATTAATTTTGATATCTAAAATCTTATCTTGTTAGGTTATGTTTAAATAACTTGCACATGTGGACCATGTGCACAGTAACTACCAAAGATGTTATAAGTGTTACTACGTCCTTGTTAAGTATTACCGCTCATTTAATATAAAAAAAACCCAATACCAACAGTTTTAAGTTAAATTTTTGCTTAAACTTATAGTTTTAAAATGCGTTCTTTAGAAAATGTATATTTCATCAAATTTTTTTTTTCGCCAAAAAAAATTAGTAAGTACATTTTTACAAAATGATTGCAATTTTTGGATTACCCATATTAAATAATAGCTTCTATATGAAATATTTACATTAGCTTTTTGATATTAAATAATTGGAATTGTACTAAGTCGCTTACACAAATATTTTAACATGCCAGTAATCATGTATAGTTGATTAAATTAATTAATTTAAATATGTCTTAAAATTTATTGCTGACAACATAAATTCATTAAACCAATAATTTAAGTAAGAATATTATTTCTTACAAAGAAAATCATTTTATTTTTAAAAATTTACCATACATTATTAAGTGGCTATGTATTCTAAAAATTTAAGTAATAGAAAATACTGTTAAATAAAGGTTTTAGTACTATAACAGACTGATACTGTGGCCCATCTCTGTAACTAACAGTGATTAGTATTATTGATATTTTATTTTTAAGTATTTCTATATCTAATACTATTTATTTGTAGAATTACAATTAATATTATTTTGTTTAATAATTATCAAACAAAAATAATGTTAATATTAGTGAAAGTTACTTAGTGGCATATTCAGGATTTATTAATGGACAAAGTATGATAGAAAAAATGTTCTCATTCAATCATATTGAGGCTTTTTTTTGGTTCATTACTTCATTTTGTAGATAAATATAATGGTCAAATAAGGGGCATAGACCCTGTGACTCACCTAAACTAGGTGCACTTCATTTAGATTCTACAAAATTGTATTTTTAAATTGTTTATATTAAAAAATATCAAATAATATTTACTAAGTAATAAATTTTAATAAAAAAAGTGATATTTCAATTACTATATTGAATATTTATAAAATATAGTTAACATGGTAAGTGTGATAAACATCTATTTTTCTCAATAAATACTACATTTGATTTAAATGGACTCCTGTAAATGTATCTAATATACGATTGATATAGTTTTTATTAAATGAATGCATTAAAATGTGTATATTTATTCTGTAATAAAAACTTACGTTTTATCATGAAAAATGGTGATAAAGGTGTTCAAACAAAATCAGAAATTTCGGTGAAGGTTATTACTTATTTTTGAAAAGGTACACCCGAGTGCAGTATGCATTGAAATCCTGTCTGACTTACGACAATTCAAGCTATAAGGATGCGCGCTCTGTCTCTTGCTAAATTTTAATGTTCTAATAATCCAACAGATAGAGTAATGTTTTTCTGTTTAAATCACTATTAAAATTCAGATATCGATCATTTTATATACAATACTTATAAAGAAATCTTTCTTATTATTGTATCTAAATGAGATAAAAATCAAATGAGTTAAACATTTTATTGTAACTCAAAAAGAATTAAGAAAAAATTCAGTGCCACAGGCATGAAAGACCCAAGTGTTACCGTCTCAGAAACCGTACTTCTCATTCGTCACTTAATAAAAATGGAAATTTAGCTAGTTCAAATTTTAAAGTTATTTTTCTCGACTTCAAAGAAATAAAAAAATTTAAATATGTTTAATTTTTTATACTATGTCCATTAGATTAATATAATATTTATGAAAATCAGTATAATCTCCTTTTAATAAAATAAAATACAAAACCAAGAATTTTAACACAAAAATAGCATATTTTTGAATACGGTAGCTATTTTCACCGTGAAGACAAAATAAAGTCCAAAAATTTTTTTTTTCATAATAAAGTATATAACATAAGCTTTAGTTTAAGATATATATAAAAATGTCAGTATTTCTGGAACACTTTCATAAGTTAAGTTGAAAAAGTTGTCCTTTTTAAACCCTCTTCTGTGGGCTGGTAAAGGGTTAAATTTATAAAAAGAATATACCAAATTTTTACAATTTTTGAGTGTAATGTTTTCAACTAGATACGATTTGTGATCTTTTGGCGTATCGTTGAAAGAAATCCGTTCGGTGTAAGCTGAGAAAAAATGGTAACAGACACACAAAAAAAAAAAAAACATCTTAGTAAAACCAATACCTTTTCAGCTTCGCATCGAAGCTAAAATTTAGTTTTTTGGAAATATATTATGAAATTTCGACCTCAACTTGACAGTTTTTTCTCAGCTCTCACCGAATGGATTTCTTTCAACGATACGTCAAAAGATCACAAATCGTATCTAGTCGAAGACATTACCCTCAAAAATTGAAAAAAATTCCCTCGTACCCCGTAAATGGGGGAAACCTTCAAAAAAATTACAAATTTAAAAATTGCTAATTTTCGAAATTTTTTTAATTTTTTTTACTTAAAACTGCCATAACTTTTTCAAAAATAAACAAATCAATATAATTTTTTTTTTATAGATGCATGATGTCTTTACCTATCATTTGGTATATTTTTTTTATAAATCTGACTTTTTACCTGCCCACGGGGGGATTTAAAATGACAACTTTTTCACAAAAAATTAATTTTTTCAACTTGACTTTTGAAAATGTTCCAAAAAGTCTGATACTTTTATATGTATCTTAAATTAAAGCTAATGTAATATACTTTATTATGAAAAAAAAAAATTTCGGACTTTATTTTGTCTTCACGGTGAAAATGGCTACCAAATGCTATTATTGTGTGAAAATTCTCAATTTTATTTTTTACATTTTTAACTTTATAAAGCTATAACTTATTGAAAAGTGTATTGATCAATATAATTTGTTTATGGGAAATACTATTTTTTAATAATCCCTTTTTCATTCGACATACTTTATCTTAATTAGGATATTAATAATGAACTAGCAGATCATGTAGCTTTTGGAATAATCCACCAATTTTTTAAAATTAAACATTATCTAAAGATTTGCATCGAAGCGTTTTTTTTTTTTATAGTGATTTTAATCACTGTCAGATATCATTATACTTGATCCATCTATGCCACGTCAACACTGTGCTGCGATCCCCCTGTGCTGGTTTTTTTTATGTTATTACTGTTAAATATTTAATATACATTTAGTGTTTATTAAAATCTTTCGATAAAAATAACTACTAATTCTAATAATCGTCTTAAATATATTTATAATTTAGATTCATTATATTCAAATTATTATTTTAATCTTTTTAATAAGTATAATAATAAATTAGTCTTTACAACGCTTCTTAAGCTCTTTATGCTTATATCTTAATTCATTAGTTATAAATCTGATGTCAAAATGATGTTTTTGCCAAGGACTAAAATTATTTTGACATTCTCCTCTTCCTTCTTATTCAAAATTTGACAACTCTCATGTGCTTTTTTAATTTTAGCACCCTATTTCATACATTTTGCTATTATATCTAAATAGTCCTTGATATAATATCTTGTAATTATTGAATGTTCAAACAATTGTTAACATTTCAGATATTTATTTTAATAGATGTAAAACATACATTACTGAAATTAGTTCACTTTCACCGATCGTATGGCAATGATAAAACTTAACTTTTATAAGACAATGGAATCGAAAGTTTGTTCCTCCCATGCTAAAAAAATATCTTGTGAAAACTATTTTAACTCCTATATATTAGATGTCACATAAAACATTTTAATAAATATCAAGGAGAAGAGGAGTAATTGTTAAGTTTTTATTACAAAAATTATTGGTATTAGTTGACTAGTTTTACTTGATATTGTTTTGATTTTGTGTAATAATACAAATACTTTTCTAAGATGTATTTATATTTTGAGTGACTATGTACTTGACGTATTTTCTTAACCGCCCGTTACTTTAGTCCAAAGCAATTAATGGAAATAATGTAGGATAGCTAAATTTTGATATATCTTATCAATAAGGAGTCCTTATTAACATATAAAAAGTCCCTAAGATTGAGTGTACGTTACAGCCGCTAGTGTGTATATACTATGTGTATAGAAGTAGTAAAAGTTGTTTTTGCTGTAACTGAAAAAATAGCAATTTACCCAGGATTTAAGACAGAACTATTTTTTATTTTATGACATTTTTAAACTGATTAAAAAAAAAAAATTTAGGGATTAATACATTTAAATCTCGCGTGTCCTCCATAAAATATCATGTCTCCGTGCCTACTTCCAATATTTGCAATAAACCTAACCGATGTAAGATTAATACTTTTGAAATCGACAAAGGATTATATACTCCTTATAAGAATAAATAGCGCAATCATTGTTCTTGACGAAACTCCAAAAATTTCTAGTAAAAATTCTACTTCACTAATAAAACGAATATTCTCTAGTAGCAAAGACAATTTTGAGGAAGAATTTTGAATTATCTGAATGACTAGTTAGGAAGTTCTAAATTAACGTATAGTGATTCAGAGATCAGACGGATAGGAATTATATTTTAATTGTTAAAGGAATGGTAGTTTCGCTAAGAACTTGATGTTCTTTTTTGTTTTCAGTTTGCTACAATTAAGGAAGTACGATAATACACTTATTTACCTAATGATACTTCCTTTTAGTTTATTTCCAGTGACGGTGTTTGGGTAGGTTTTTTATATATCTATTTTCTGTCCTTAATAAACTTTCCGCCGAGGCAACAAAAAATAACTTCCCAGAAGTTATTAAAGAAGTTTAAAGCTACTAGGATTAAAGTCAGTTATACCAACGTACATCTTCAATCTCGAGGGACTTTTAGCAAGTTAATCAAGACCCCTTACTGATTATGTGTACTAAAATTCAGTTTTCTTACATTTGAGGAAATTTAGTGTAATTTCTCGATTTGTTCATTTTAAAACACAATTGATGTGCGAATAAGAGCGAAATCTTTCTAAATACGTTGAGTTAGTAAATTATTCCATAGAAGTCAAATATAAAAAAATAATGCAGCGATGACGGAGTAATGTAAAATTATTCCATGGGAACTATTATAATATAAGACAAACAAAACATAATGTGTGTGTCATTGATCTACAAAAACGTAAATATGTAATATAATTGAGTTCTAAATTTGCTGATCATTAGTATAATGTACATGATGTATGAACTGAATATGTTGAATATATATACTTTATATGTCTGTAATATTATTGAATTAACTTTTAATATTTATCAAAGGCTGAACCTAAACAGAATTTAACAATAAATAGGGTCAAAACTCATACATTACGAGAATAGTAACATGTTTATTTCGATTGGGAAATAACAATTATTTTTCATTTATGAGTATAATTCCACTTGTTAAGAAATCTTATTATGACTCTAATATTAATTAAATTCAGAAAAAATATTTTTGATATAAACACAGTGTCGACCTTTCATACATCAAAAACAACGTTATTTACCAATTTTCGTTACACATTTCCCCCTTATTTTATTTATTTTGTTAATTTATTTTTTTCTTACCATTGTGTATAAATACAAACCAGTTTAGATTTATGTCTGGTTAGTCAATAATGGAGCCATTATTTTGTGTATGACATCTAATAAAAAAATATATAAAATAGAAGAAAAAGCTTTGTATGGTATTTATAGATATGGGGAAAGCTGTATGATAGAGTACCGAAGAAGATTTTAAAGTGGACATTGAAATGAAAAAAAGAGTTCCGAAAAGGTACATTAATATAATAGAGGATATGTATGATGGTACTTGTACCTGGGTAAAAAGTGTGGGAGGAGTAACAGAAGATAAAAGTAGCAGTGTACCAAGGTTCTGCTTTAAGCCCTCACTTATTTTCTATAATAATGGATGAAATTACTAGAGAAATACAAGGATAGGTACAGTGGAACATGTTGTTCGCTGACGATATAGTTTTAATAGGATAAAATAAGGAGGAAATTAATCAAAGGCTAGAGGCGTGGAAGAGATCAGCTCTTGAATAAAAGGGTTTAAGAATAAGTAGAAGTAAGACAGAGTTTATAGAGTACGATTTGACAAAGGAAAATACGAAGTAGGTGAAATGAGTACATCAGTGACAATAAGCGAGGACGTAATAGGAGAGGTGGAAAGTTTTAAGTATTTAGGATCAGTTTTGCAAATACTTCCATATTACACTTAAAATTTTATTTTTTGCAAAGTATTCCTAAATAAGTTATAAATTATAAAATCAATGAATAGTTATACTTGAAAAATTTATTTATATATTAAAATGTTGATATTTAGAATGTACATGCCTCAAAATCGTTGTGTTTTTAAGACTATATAATTTGCATGATTTTGATTCATTTATAATTTTTTAAAAGTTATGTAGGACTTAAAAGTGTATTTCTAGGACATTCAGGAAAATTTTCTATCCAAGTATGATAGGTACTTATGAACGAATAAGAGGTCTTTTTCATATTGACGACCAAACGGACGAAACCTAATTAAAACGATTATTAATAACTGAACTATAAAAGTGACTTTATAAATAATACAAACGTTTTAAAAATACAGATATTACTTAATAGTTTTAATATGACTGATATTTTTTTATCGATACTTATTTATAAGTAATAATAATTTTAATTTTAATCATTTTTAACCGTATAATTTCTATTGTACGTTTATTACTTATAGTTATTGAATACAATAGAATGGAATTTATGTTATATGATTTCTATAGATATGATTCAATATAAATTTTGTTTATATGTAAATATATTTACATTAACCGGATGTTAAAGCTGACACGTAGATAAATGATCATAATACAACATAATTAATTATTATTTAAAAAAGTAACGACAGTAGCAACTAACTGCGTCTCAAGGTTCACACTTTTAAAAATTAATGAATTAACAAGTCAGGGAACGTAATGTTTTTATTCGTTGCATGCTTAGGCTATTAACGTAGTACTGTTGTTAAAAATTTATTGTTTATGTTTCCTGTCTACATAGGTATTAATTAATATCACATAATCATATGCATTAGCTATTTTTTGTGTTGATTTTATTTACTATCCATAGTACGCGATTAATTTAAACTGCAATGAAAACAATAACAGTGCATAGTCAACGCTTATGATAAAGGAATTTTAAAGAAATTTATTTATTTCATTCGAGTTAAATATTGCAATTCAAAAATAAATTCGTCATGAAGTATAATTTATTACTGTGTACTTTATTTTTTAGCTTTTAGGATTGACCTCAATGATAGCGTTTCTATACTCCAAATGTTCTTTATTCTAAGAGTATACCGTGCAATTTATACATTTTTCGTAGTTTCGGTAAAAAGCTCTATATTAGACTTAAGTTTCAGTTTTTTTGCATAACCTAGCTGTACAAAGTATTGAAGAAAACAATTAATTTAGTTTCATTGCGTTATAAGTATTTTTTAAATAATAATAACACCGAGGGAATGGATTTAGTACAGGGTGAATATGTAATGGATTTATTTCACACCATGAAACCCTAAAATCCAACAGTGCATTTTCACATTAGGTAGCGTGACAGTTTTTTTGGTCGCTGAAATTCCAGAAGTACGATTAACTTAAGAATCTTAACATATAAACGATACCAAAGATCGCGGTACGTCAACGCTATAACATTTCTCTATACTGATAACTCCTCCCACTCATTTAAAAATTCTGAAAAGTGTCGAACAATACAAAGCATCATTGTGCTCAGGGGTCAGTGCTCATAAAAAAAAAAAAAAACGGACAACAGTAGTTTTGGATTTATCATTTTTCATATTGTATACCTACTTGTGATACGTTCCACCGCCCGCACACCTATCAGTCTTCGTGTAGTGATCTTCCTTTAGCGGCAGAACTCGACACCGTTTACAATGAAGTTCCCTTGACCTAGAAAATCGGAAGTATTCTCTCTTTCTTTCTTTTTGTAATATATATTATAGATTTATATGCTCCATTGAACACACGGTCCGTTTGAAGTCGAGTAGGGGAAGAGGTACACTGGAGCTTTCCAAAAAATATTTATTTTGACATGACACGACAAGTACGGTATTAAAGAACAATAATCGCGCCGAAGTGAAAATGAATCGGCTGCATGTACTCATAGTCAGTACGATCATCGTATTATGATGATATAATCTGATACACTTAAAATATTCGCTCTCGTATAGAAAAGTATATAAAATTATTGATGCATCAGTTGAAAAAAATGTCGAATGTTCCACTGCATCGCCTAAACGTAAATAGTATAATTGTATTAATTTTTATGTGGTTTATTGCGAACTTAAAGAATCGTAGCTGAGAAAGTTTAAATATTACATGATACTAATCATGAATTTTGTTAAATCTTCCGTAAAGTTTAACGTTTATGTAGTATATTTGAATGATTCGCGCAAAATTGATTAGAATCATACAAAAACGACTCTAATGACACACACGTTTAAAGTTAAATGAGTACTGTACAACGTAAAGAATCGAAGAAACCGTTAATATGTTGTATTTAACAATCGAGTTAACCGTAATTGTTTATAATATATTGTTAGAAAACATTGTACTATATCGCGTAAAATGACTTAACGTGCCCTCTTTAGTGCAAACGGGTTTTCGTTTAATGAATTTTAATTGTTTCCGTTAAATAATGAATTTTATAATTACGGACATTTTATTATTAATGACAGGAAAATGTCAGAATTTACTTAAGAGATGTTTTTTGTATCTTGAAATTCCGTTTATTAATAATTTTATATTCATTTATGTGTTCGTTGTTTTAATTGTTTATAGATAATATTTATTTTGAAAACCAAAGTTAAATAACTTGAGAAATGTCCTTGAAATAATCCTCAAAAATACACATCTCCATGACAACCAAACGTCAGTAATACATAAGAAAATTGCCGGGACAATGGTGAAGATTGATTAATAATTTAATAATTTCTCTTAATGGACATTTTAAGGTAAAGAGTAAAAATAATTATTTAAAATAAAATGAGCTTCTGTAGTATAATTAAGCAGTATATCACATGCGTAATGAAATATTCTATATTTTTATGAATAGCAACTAATGTGAACAAATTTTTTAATCATTTAAAATTTATTTACAAAGTGTAGAGTTTGCGTTTATTAATTAGTAAAAATATTTAGAGTATTTAAATAAGAACATTGTCGATTCAAGTATAATGAATAAAATACACCGACATTAGTATTATGTACATTGGCTTTTTATATCAAATTGATCGTACTATCATAGATCTTTGTTTCTAATACAGAACATGATCTCGGATGTACATATCATGTATAACTTGAATTTTTTTATTTGAGTTGTGTGAAAAAATATTTTGCCGAAACTAATTATTATTTTCATAATACATCTAGCACAAATTTTTAAATTTTTATTGCAAGCTATAGCTAAATATTTAAACTTATTCATAACCTTGTAAGTAATGCATGTATGGTAAATTTTCATGTTATAATTTATGAGGATTTTGTATTATGTGTACAACAGGTGCCATAAATGATTGTTGGCTTTTACGTAGATTATATTGTGCGAAAAGGTATCGATATGACTTCTTTAAACGAATTAATAACAATGTGAAAAAGGTATAGAAATAACTCTCATTGACATTTCAAGGTCGTTGTCAAGTATACCTCTGAATATTATAATAACGTATGGCCTACACGAAATAGCGGCCGTAACATATTATATAAACAAACGACTATTTCGTGTATTTTATAAAAATTCTACATTTTTAACTAATTGATTTTAAATACAATATTTTATTAATACATAATAAGATTAATATATCTTATTTCCGATCGATCAAGACCCTGACCTTAGTGCAACCGTTTCAATGTCATTTTGTCATTGCTGTTTGAAAAGTATTTGAACCGTTAACATCGATAATGAGAATCAAACGTCATAATTATAAGTCAATGATAACATATTATCGCAATGTTAAATAAAATATCAAATTTTAGTTTTCATTTAGTGTTTTTTTTTAATATTGTAGACCTTGAAACTTAGAAAAAACAATATCTCAAAACTTGTAAGTTTTATAAACAATTGTTTTTTAAATTTTCCAAATAAAAATAATAACAAAAACCGGGAAGTAAACGGAACACATGCCATAATATTTTAGTTTTATTTCCATGGACACTTAGATCTGTTGACAGATCAGTAAAATATGATTCTTAGCAAAGTCACACGTCATTATTGTTCACCTGCGAATAATGTTTTCAAAACTAATTTTATATTTTTGTACAACATCAATTAAGTCTAGTATTCGTAACGTTATTTTGTATTTACATAGAGCGTACCAATATATTTGTCAATGACAATAACATTTTAATAAGTTTTACCTTAGCCGTTTCCTGAATAATAATTACCTTATAAGTAATATTAATTTCCGATGCTTGTTTAAGACTATCGGTGAATTTAATTGCATCTAATAATGACGTAGGAAAGTATTTAAATACGTGTACGTGCTAGTGCTCACAAAATTATTTGAAAATTCATCAGTCGATAAATCATTGATTATGTGTGTTTAAAATGTTTTACTTTTATTATTAAAAAACACAGATGTAACTTGGGGGCTAGGTTGGTTTTGAGCACCTTAGTAATTCAAAAATACGTACATAATTATTAATTGAGTAAGACAAAAATACATTTAGCACCCTCAAAAATGTTGTCTTTGTTTCTCCTATGATAAAAAGTAACTTTTTAAATGTAGAATTATATGAATTTTATTTTTTTGCTTTATTATATATTTAGTATTTTACTATTTACAATAAATGCAACTAGAGAAGTTTAGGCCCTGCGGGCAAAGAATAAATCTCCCCAAAAATGTAGAAAATTATTATTTAATAATAATTTAGGAGAATCCCCAAATTTTTTATTCTCGTTTTACCTATGCTAATTACATAATATTAACCTTATGTACAATAGTCAAATATACATTATTTTTAAATCTCACTTGTGCAATTTTAATATAATACATAGTGCCATACTTATAGGTTGGCATTTTAGTATTTCATTTTATTAATTTAGTTTATAGTATGACTATAACTAATAAAAAAAAATATTCTTTATATTTTTACGGCCGCTAAAATATTCAAACAACTGTTGTACACCAATCTAATATTAATATTGTATAGGTCATGTTGTAAGTGTACATGATTTCCGGACTGCATTAATGTGCAGGTATAATGCAATGCATAACAATGCAAAATAAACTGTTCAAGAGCAAAGGATAAATCCATTTGTTATAAAAAAAAGAAAATAAATGATTCCATTTCTGTTTTTCAAGGTTTTATTTTTACCGAGTGACAAAAATAAGAACCCGTTACACTGAACATCCCTTAACCCGGGAGGTCTTTTTCTTTAAAAATAAACCGTAATACGTTTGAATAAGGCGCGTCTTTGATTTGGGTATACCGTGTTTTAAACGGAAGGTTCAAATCCTTCCCAACCACTGTCACACTTTGTGGTAAAAAAAGAGCAGTCATTTGTTAGAGAGATGTTTACAAAAAAGTATAGGTTTACAAAAGATTTATCGATACGATGGCCACAGAACAGAAGGCACTTGTCCTTCCGCGGAGGACAGTTTACAGTTAGATCTAAATCTTACACATTTTACAATTTGAACTCTTGAGTGTGGAACGGATATGGACAAATATTTGGCTTCGCATCCAACCTAAGAATTTTAATTAAATATTAAACATTAATTAAATGTATATTATAGTTAGGAAACTGTCTGTAATGTCATTTAAATAAATTTTTTTTTTTTAAACAATTAAGATAGTACAATAAAAATATTTTTAGATTGAGAAGACTATTGTAGTAATAAAAAATCTATAAAAAAAACCTTTGAGCTTAAACATAAGTAAAAATATATTTGTTTTAAAAAAGACGCTTACGGTAGATCCTTAAAGAAATATAATTTGATTAAAGATTATCTAATCGTATTTTCTAAGTTAATATTAATTATTAAATTAAAAAATTGCTACTAAAATTTGAGGTACCAAAATGATTATCATTAAAGAGGACTCTGTTAACTCCTTGACTAGTTTTTAATTATATCTGATAACTACTGCTTTTAAGAAATACTTTCTGATTTATGGAATTTTAAGTAAAAAATATCTAAATAAAGTAAATCTTATTAAAATTATAAAGAACCCTATTTAATTTTAACGTATGGAGCCACCCAAGTATCACTATACTTACTTTCCTGTAATAGTTGCATCACCAAAACGATCAATATTGTACTTTATTTTAGTAGACGAGTAAAAACTGTTTTCGAATCAAAAAAGAAAATCCATTAAGTTAAATTTGGTAGAAAAATAATATTCTAATTACTCTACGCAACATCAACATCATTTTATATTGTAGATATTATTATAGTAATCAAAAACGTTCGCATAAAAATGTCCCAGGGGCTGCAAAAATTGTTAATAACAGTTCATAGGGCTATGGAATTTCCATTGATAAGAGTAGTGTGACACTCATTCCCTCCATGACATTTAATTCTAATTTTTTACCGCTAATGGTACTTTTAGAAGGATTATCAGTAATAAAAAAAAGGTCATCAAAATAAATTTTTATTTCAATTAAAAAAAAAATTGTCATATCTAATATATTGATATTAGGTAATTAATTGTTTTAATTGCAATACACCTATTACATAACATCTTCCTTACTAGAACATCAATAACTTTATTACTAATATAATTATCTAGGAATTAGCATAGTCAGATGATATTAATTATTTTGTTCTAATATTGTATATTTTCCATTGGTTACAACATATGTTCATCTAAAAGAGTCATTTTTATTTGGAATACGTATTTTGGTAAAAACATGGCAAAAAATCATATATTTAATTATTCTAATTATATATTCTTATGATTAATTTTGGGAATATTTTATAAGTACGTGCTTTCGAACAGACTTAAAAAAAAAATGATCGAAATCAGTAAGTTATGTAGGTGTGTATATGAATACAACAAGCTTAGTTAAAAATAAGATAATATGACTTTAAACATGAATTTTAAGTAGTTTGTATAAAAGTATTGTCTTTTATAGAAATCGTGTACGATACAAAAAATTGTTCGCAGATCAGCCGTTAAGCCGATTGGGGTTGTCTCAGAGAAGTCTTTGAGAGCTTCTCATGTCTCAGACTGTTAACTTGATAATGCATTTTTATAAATAGTGTGGAATATATTTTAGTGACTAGTGGTCTGTAATTTTTAAAATTTAATGTTATAATAAATGATTCAACTATACAAACACTATGTAAACCTTCTTGTTATCTTGAATAATGTACATATATTTGTATTTGGGTGTTCAATAAATAGTTCGTAATATTATATTGTAGTAGTTTGTATATTTTCCTGGAAAATTTAGTAGTGATTATTAAACAAAACTTGTTCATAATAATGTGTTTAATCTTTAAATAAATTATTTGCAAGTATTAAATACTGAGTGATCCGCGATGCATTGTAAATAATTCATTATTTTCAGAGTAAATTAAAATTATAGTTTAAAAAAATATATCAAAATAAATTTTATGATTTTATTTTTTGTAAAAATTTACGTCGTAAAAATATTAAGATAACATAAAATTTATAGTTATAGTTTATTCATAGAAAAATTTGTTTATATATATGAATGTTTTTATACGATACACAAACAAAAGTTAGTATGTTCATATTATTATTTCTAAAAATACGTCAAAAGATCACAAATCCTATCTAGTTGAAAACAATAACCTGAAAATAAAAAAAAAAATTTAAAAAACTTAAATTTTCCTTCGTTTTATTAATATATTATTTTACAAATAAATTTTTGATAATACATTTTTAAACAAAAAATATGCTTAAAAAAGATTTTATTTTATAATTCAAAAGTCTACGTGTAATATAATATTAATACCACTAGAAAAATAGTTATGATAAAATTATTAAACATACCATGAGTAATATTGATACTAAATTCTTTTTTTTTACCATACACCAAAAGAAAAACCTCAATCAAAATTGAAAGAGAAATTTTATCAAGGGTTTATGATAATGTTTTATTAATACGAACAAAATAACTATTCTTATAAATAATTATTGTTCAAGACAAGAAAAAAAAATATCATATTGATAAATATATCATTGATTCAATAGTAATGATATATTTATCAAATTGAACAATGAATTTATTATATAGATCGAGGTTTTTCTCTGGGTGTATCTAAAGCTTGTTTTATCTTATGATGTCCAAACATTATATTAGAAAACAATTTTACTAATTCCTTTAAATTAACATTCAACCGTTTAACATAAAAATATAAATTTCTTACATAAAAAAATCCCAGTACTGTGTAGTTGCAACTTGAAACAGCTTAACAAAAATGTATGATTAACATTATATTTTATTAAATATTTTTTTGTAAAAGGAGGGGTTTAAAAAGAAATACTTACCCTTCCTTATAAGACTATTCTATTTAAGGGGAAATCCTCATAGTTTTAAAAAAAGTATGTCAGATGTAATTATAAAAAAAATGTATTAATCCATAAACTTATAAAAGTAAAACTTTTTGAAATTCATACATTAAAATAACTTTTTGTAATGGAAAAATTAGTGATTCTTTGTTAATTTAATAAAATAACTGAAGTTATAGTTTTGTTAAGTTACCATAATTATGGTAACTTCATGAAACAAGAAAAATGTTTACTACATTTCTTGTAATTGTATTTTTTAGAGCAATTTAATTTAATTGTTAAATCAATTGAACACAATTTGGAAATATAGTCGAGTTACTTAAAATTTAAAATATTAATATGAAATATTTTAAACTGTATTTTGGAGTCTAATTACTAAATCAGTGTGTTTATATAACATATTAACCTTTTTTGAAAGTTAAATTTAATAAGAGTTCTTCTCAGAAAGAGGTACTTCAAAAACAAAGTCTCAATCACATTGTGTAATAAATAGGTCAAACTTTAAAGAAACATGTATCTTACAAAATTATATTCTTGAAAAGTAACTAACGAGAACCGTTATATAAATTCACTAGAAGCAAGTCTAATGTCTCTAGTAGTATCCTGAAGCTTTTTAGTAAATTTTTAATGTTATTTTCCTCAGATTAGTATACTAAGACCAAATATATGTATACATAATATGGGTTTTATTGAATATTTAATAGGGAAACGATTATCCTTTTCTAATAAATCAAAACATGTTAATGTAAGACCAAAATTTATTTGCAATCTTGGTCAAAACTATTTATTATAAATGCAGGTTTGAATGTTAATTAAAATTATTATCTTTGAAACGTATCAGGAACACTTTTAGCTTCGATGCGAAGCTGAGAAGGTATTGGTTTTACTAAAATGTGTTTTTTTTTTTTTTTTGTGTGTCTGTTACCACTTTTTCTCAGCTCTCACCGAACGGATTTCTTTCAACGATACGTCAAAAGATCACAAATCGTATCTAGTCGAAGACATTACCCTTAAAAATTGAAAAAAATTCCCTCGTTCCCCGTAAAAGGGGGAAACCTCCAAAAAAATTACAAATTTAAAAATCGCTAATTTTCGAAATTTTTTCAATTTTTTTTACTTAAAAGTGC